ATGAAATTTTTATTACTGTTATAATTATCACTTATTTGTTTGTTTACTTTTACTTTTATTAATTATTATTTCTTCCAATTACTTAACTGTAATTTGTATTTGACTTTTAATAAGTTTGTATGTAATGTAATTCAGTCATCTACACTGTGCTGAGTCTGTAATTGGCCTTGCGGCTGTTGACTCGGCACATTAATAATAAAGAATTGAATTGAATTATCCATCGGCCTGTTTGTATTTCAAAACAACGTTTAGGAGACTGGATTCTGTCTCCGTACTCAGGGAAAAAAAACCTACTCAGTTGGGTCCAATCGATAGAGCTAGTCCCTATCTATAACGTAAAATTTTTATCCTAGAAATGATTATGGCGGGGGCACACCAAGGAAACTGGCAACCGCAATTTTCGAGAATTGATCTCAGCATGAGTTAAACATATGTTACTGGATGGAGAAGCACAAATTGAGGAAACTGCGTTGCCTGTGTTTAACTCAGGCTGATAGCAATTCTCGGAAATTGCGGTTGCCAGTTTCCTTGGTGTGCCCCCGCCCTAAGTCAATCTTCAGATTGTGTGTAAGTACCCGGTATCACCGCAATTTTTAATACAGGTGTTGCTTTGTTGCAAGAACTAAATTTTGTAGACTGTATTCTGGTGCTAAGAGACCCGTGCGATATGAATACTATTTACTTAACTCTTGGAGTAATAATGTAAGTCCTTCTAATGCTGTACCGATAATAACAGATTGACGTAATGAAACATAGTCAGATGCGTCTTATTTCATTGTCATCTCTCCAACCGTTCATTTTCTGAAGTGCTCCAGCGAGATGTAAGCAGTCCACACATAGCCTCATCTGAAGCTGTGCATGTTACATATTTAGAAGTACCGCCATTTTGAATAAAGAGGAACGTTACTTAGCTCTGTTTACAAACCATTCAAAATATATTTTTCTCCCAGATGTTGCGAGCTTGAAATAGATTAATATGTTGATTATTCTGTTTTACACCTGTCGGTGGTAAAGTATTCACCTCTGTAGTAAATCAGATGAAAAGTGCCTCGTAGTTTAAATCCATTATTGAGGAAATGTAAGTAAGACGTCGACAGCGCAATAAAAATGTATATTAATTCAGGAACCGGTTTAGAAGTTTTCTGATTTCTGGGGTAATATTTGGGATTTCATGCATTCATCACTGGCTCTACAGCCCTTTGTTGGGCCCTTGCCTTTTCCTCAGTCTCGTAAGCTTTTTTACACAGACGGTAGGGCTCCTTGGACTAGTGATCAGCCCGTCGCAAGGCCGCTACCTACACGCAGGACAACACTAACAGAATAAACGCACACACAGACATCCATGCCTTCAGTGGGTTTTTAACCCACGATTCCAGCGGGCGAGCGAGCGTCCATGCCGTAGACCGCGCGGCCACCGTAATCGGCAGTATTTAGGATAGCCTTATATAAATGCCGCGTGACATTGCCATCCGGACTTGCACGTACTTAGTTATTGGAGAGGGTGGGTTTCCCCATGCACTTAGACCTGTATTGATCCATTGTGCTTCCCTCTATGATTTCTATCAGTCTCTATATCCTACCGGTACTGGTGCTTACCATCAGTCCCGCCCAGCCAGCGAGACCGGCTCTACTAGCTGAGAGGTATCTATAATGCTTCCCCCATCTACCAGAGGTATTAGAGACTGCTGTTGGGCAGGAAACGTCCTTGAGTTTGGCTCAGTGACCTCCTTAGGAGATATGAGGTTCTTTTACGTGCCGTAAAGCTACGACACGGGACCCACGGCTTAAAGTCCCTCCCGGAGGACTTGTTCCCTGAATTTTTCCGCCCTTAAAAATTCGACGACCTCCGCCGGGTATTTGAACCCGCGTACTACAGTCATGAGGTGGGAACGTTACCTCTAGACTACGGAGGCCGCTTGCACTTTATATACTTTATATATATATATATACTTTATACTTTATATAGATACAACTTCGTAGGTTAGCCCATTCTGTTTCCATTCGTTTAACATCCCCAGATTTCGAAGCCCAGTATTCCAGAACGATAAGCCTACATGTGTTCAGTTCGTGCTTGTACGGTTCAGCGAACTCTGCCCACGGTGATCGTGTAGACCAGGCGCATTTGGGCGCCGACGCCTCAGACAAAAATCCAATATTAGTATTGAACGTGTAGGACAAGTGAAACGGTAATATATATTTTGCTTGCAAGTTAAGATAGATGCTTGCGTTATGGCAGCCAGGTGTAATAGAGTCCATGCATTTTTATTTTTTGTTTTAATTTCGTTCCTACACCAATTGCCTGTATGATCATGATGTTTAGACGAAACTAGTCCCACATTACTCGTATACCTGTCTGTACATTCAGCCACGTATAGAATATATAGGTGGAGGTGGAGATTTGTATTTGATTATAAATAGGACCATTAATCCTGTGTATTAATTCTACAATCGTTTTGTATGTAAGATTTAGCTGTGGCAGAAAATATTGATTGAAACAGCTGACGTAAAGCTGCCGCGTGTTACCCCGACTATGCAGGCATCCCACGGTGCATTACTGATGTTCAGATAGTATTACTGTCAGGCGAATTCGTTGAGCTTTGAAGCCGGTGGATGGTAAGCGATTATTTTATGAATAATGTAACGCAGTTATTATGAGAATGTTGTGTTAAGTATCGAATTACTACAGAAACATGTTTCCAATTGTATTCAAATTACTAATTTTATATATATACATATTCTTTTCTGCTCTTGCGGTACATATCATTTTTAGTGTACTGGCTATTGTAACGAGTTAATCATAACAATACTTTAATGACCACTTATTCTAACACAGCGTTCTATTGTTAAAGAAGTTATATAATTTGAGCTTTCTAAACTGGAAAAGATTAAAATAACTTCCATAAATTCACAATTCCTCCAGGAACCTTGATACCACTGGAAATAACTTATTGTTACTATGTAAGTCATTTGACTTCATAAAATTCAAAGTTTTAAATAACGACTACATAATTGTGTAAAGAAATTGAGGAAATAAATTTTCTTCACATCTGAAGTGTTTATTCAGAACAGTAAACCTGTTATGGGTTGCAAGTTCCACTGTTCTTAAAATGGTCATATGGGAATCATTATTTAACACTGAGAGTATAACTGTCAAATACAGGAGCATTATTAATATACTTCTTGAATATTAATATCAGCAAGTGTAACTGATGTGCATCTTCCTTCAGAAGTATGAATATCTAATTTTACAGTGATTGTAGTTATTAAATGGTTCTTCCTGTCGTTAGACAGCAAAAACCGAAATGTTAACATGTATAATTATTAATATGGATGTAAAAGTATTTCTAGTAAAACGCTTCCATTCTGTTGTAGTAGCTATCAGAACAATTACATGAAACTCTAATGAGCTGTGTCCCTCTCTGGATTTAAATAAAAAATTTAATTATAAGTGTAAATTCCATATTCTTTTCACTTGCAGTAAACGGTCTAATAGTGGCATGCCCAAGGAGATCTTCCTGAGTTTAATGATATGTGATTTTAAGGTAGTCTCTAAATAAACTTTGAGTAATAATATATTTGAGCGTCTTATTGCACTAGTTGAACACTATAGCTTGTTGGTCAGAACGCCAGTTAGTACATGTTTTCACATATGTTTATATGTTTTGGCAACATGAGGTCATAATCCTCTTCTCCAAGTATAATTATAATGATCAAGTCAAGGAGGATGAGGTGGGCAGGTCATGTAGCACGAATGGGGAGATGAGGAATGTGTATAGGATATTGGTGAGAAAGCCAGAAAGAAAGAGACCACAGGGAAGACCAAAGTGAGTGTAGGTGGATGGACAATATTAGAATGGATCTTAGAGAGACAGGATGGGATGGTGTGGATTGGATAGATCTGGCTCAGGATAGGGACCAGTGGAGGGCTCTTGTGAACACAGTAATGAACCTTCGGGTTCCATAAAATGCTGGGAAATTCTTGAGTAGCTGCAGAATTGGCAGATCCTCCAGAAGGGCTCAGCTCCACGAGTAATTAAGTAAGTAAGAGGTCATAATCAGGTATATAATGATTCATGCAAATGTTTATACTACATTCAATAATTCATGGCACACAAGACTTATAAGCCTATAGCAACACATCTTTTTAAAATTATTTTAAATTAAGTTAACAAGGAAACAATATTGTTTTTTAAAAGCAAACTTTTAGACTATGTCTTAGATCCACATCTTGTGTGCTATGAAATATTTAATACAGTATAACAATTTGCCTGAATCTTTATATACCTGATGATGGTCCCATGTGGCTGGAACATATCGTAACTATATGTGAAAATATAGAACAAGCGGTGTTCTGACCAGTGAGCTACAAAAATACTGCATCTTTTTAAGACTGTTCTACATACATACATACATACATACATACTGTTCTGTATATGTCAGGTGCTAAATATTGAGTGTTTGGTTACATTAGCAAGATATTAATTCCACAGCATATTACTCCCCTCTGACCATTTATAGAGTGTTTTAGATTCCTTGCTGCTCACAAGATTATATTGTCCTACATCTTAAGATAATTTTTATAACTTGGACATACTACGGTTTCCCTTTCTTCATTGTAATTTTAGTTTTAATATTCTTGTATGTAATCATTAACTATAATGTTAAATTAGATTTGCATGGGTACCTTAAAATTATGTTAGTCACATGTTTCTATGATTTTTAAGTCCCTCATATCTTGGGACTGGCTGTAGCAGACAAAAGACATTCAGATATCAAACTACTTGTTGTCTCTATCAAATTACTTGTAATTTGTGTTTGAATCCTACAAGTATTTATTGCATCTAGTTGGATGTGGCTATTTAAAACTTCTTTCAGTATATCTGTAAGTATTCTGTTGTCAAAACAATGTTTCCAAGTCCTTTGGTTTAGGCATGAAAAAACAGTCATGATTATCATGTTGTATTTCAAGTAATTAGCAACATTAATGTGTTTACTTCCAGTCCACAGCAGGAGTGTGGAGTGTGATGGCTGCCAAGATGCCTGAACTAAGCTATTCTTGTGAGATATGTGGTGTGGAGGGACTGAATGATGAGGAGATGCGTTCACATATGGTGGTTTACCATCTAGAGGGTGCTGCTTCATGCCCATTTTGTGATTTGGGTGAAGTCTCGGCAGAAGAGATGTTGATGCATGTCAACAGTGCTCATTTAGATTATTTAACTCCTGAACAAGAACTTCTGGCATTCATTGACGATGACGATGATGAAGACAGTAGTGAACGGGACATGGCTCGACCTTCTCCATGGTCACTCTCACCTGAAGCCAGAGAGAATGGTTGGATAAATAATATCAATAATAATAACAATAATTATTGTGGGGGTGGTAGTGCTGCAGGTGGTAGTAGTAGTAGTAGCAGTGGAAGCGTGCTAATGGGCACAGCTAATGGTGTAGCAAGTGCAGGTTCTGGCTCCCCTCTTCGCTCACAGTTGGCACTGAATCTCCGGACTAGTGCCATACCCAGCCCAGCCAAGAAAGCTACACCTCAACAGTGCCCCATGTGTTCATACAGTAGCGATTCTCCTCTGCAGTTAGAAGAACATATAAATAGACAACATTTTGATCTGACCAGTCCATCATTCCCTGCATCGCCACCAGGATTACAAGAGACAGTGTACAATTGCCCGCTCTGTATTCGTACCTTCCAGAACAGTCCAGATTTAGAATTGCATGTAAATATTGAGCATAAGGATATCCTCAGTCCTGCCAAGGTAAGTGTTCACCAGTTTTTGTATGGCTGTTTGAAATAAGGAAGAGAATGTAGTAAGCTGCATTCTTGATTGTAGGGGAAGAGAGAAAGCAGGAAAACTTTAAGATCTTGAACTGCTCCTATTAGGTTTGTGTTCATAATTGTATGAATCATAAGTACAGTAACGGATGTAGGAAGTAGAAGAGAGCGTGTATTCCATATTTCCTCTCATCTCAACCGCATCACAACAGAGGTCAAAAATGTGATTGATGAATACCATACCAGTCTTGTAGAAAGAGTATGAACGAGATGAAAGCCTGGTTCAAAAGTATCCACATATACCATATTGTATGATTATGTCAATCTTCATTATTGAAAATTTATGAATATACTGTTATAATCAGGAAAATACAGCACTTCAGAATTTCTAGATCAAAATTTTTTTCAGACCCATAATAACATTTAGAGTATTGTTTGCAGTACCTATCATTTTTTTTATTATTGATTCTTACACAAATACTATTAATACTTAATATCACATGTTCAGTGGCCGACGTGCTGAGTGGACTAAGCCGGACTCCACCCCCCACTATGCGAATTAAAAAAATTAAAAAATATCACGTCATTCAAATGCCTTGGTTAGGCAATGGCCATTTACTTTGAGTCCTTTCCATTTCATCATTCACTTATCATCCTACCATTTGACACTATACAGTTTAGATACTGACTCTGTTATAGAATAATCCACAAAAAAAATCTGTGTACTGATAACTGCATAGTAAGGGTTGTTCTTATATTCCTATACTTTTTTTTTAAGAAATTGATTTATACAGCTTATGAGAGTCAAGTTTATTTTCATATGTGATGTATGTAGAAGGGCGCAGTGTATTGTGTGTCATACTGCTCACATTGTGGGATCTAGGCCTGCACAAATTTTCCATAAATCTATAAGTCATTTCCAAAAACTAGGAACCAGAATAAAAACAAAACACTTTGGGTTAGGTATTTGCTGATTTTTATTAACAGGATATAAATAAAAGCCAGTTCAAGTGATTCTGGGTGGATGGGGGCATGGCATGATGTTGCTAGAGTGTGGAGAGAGGTATGATGATGATAGGATGGACAGATAAAAGGGCTGTGAAAGCAATGTGGGAGAAAGAGAGAGAAATTAAAAAGACACAAGAATGGAAGAACAGGAGTGAGGGAGCTGTTATAATGTGAAGGAGAGGGAGGGAGGAAGGAAGGGGAAGAGAGTGATGATAGGATGAACAAATAAAATAGTTAGGAAAGCAACAGAGAAGAAAAGAGGGAAGTAGATGATAGAGGATAGAGGTATGGAAGAATAGGACTGATGTAAATTTTTTAACATGGAGAGGCAAGAAGGAAGGGGGAGAAGAGTGGTAATGGGATGAGCAAATAAAGGAAATGGGACACCAGTAAGAAAGAAAACAGAGGGAAGGATATAAAGATGTGAATGAGATAAATGAAAAAAAATTATTTTGCTTGTCATCTTTGATGGGTAATATGCTAATAGTAATGTAATATTAAGAAAACACTAAGTCAAGCTAAAAGAAAACTCCATGGTTGTAGTCTGCAAGCAAACTATACTGACTGAACGACTGCCGCTTGTCAGCAAAGTTAGTACCAACTTTAGTAGATAGAAGGTGTCGCATGGTCAGCGCAACGAATCCCCATGGCCGTTAATTTCGGTTTTCTAAACCGGAGCTGCTGTTTCCTGAAATAGTTCCTCAGTTATCCTCATGAGGCTGAGTGGACCCCGTTCCAGGCCCACTACTTCTCAGAAAATATGGTAGCGATGGGAATCGAACCTGGACTTGAACTCTGATTACTAGACCACAGAGGCGGTCAAGAAAACACTAAGTGCCAGCATGAAAGTTTTAGACGCAGTGGTGACTTGGCACCTGGAATTCTTATAGGCCTCATGGGATTAATGTTATATCTTGCTGCATTATTAGTTCTGTTTAACGTAAGTGTGCAGGTTGTGCAAGCTTCTTAATTTACATGTGGATTGCCTGCAACTACATAATTTTCCTGTTACGTATTATCCTTATTCCTCTTTGTTTTTACTGTATGTCAGTTCATTTTATTTGTTCTTGTAAGGTTACTTTATTTAATATATTACTTACTCTTTCACTAATATGATCTTCTATGTTGATTTTGAACACAGTGCTATTCTGCCTGGTGTATGACTGTTATAGTGCGGTACTTACACATAACTACCAAAGCTGGTGAACAGCTTGGTGTCATTCACCCAATATTCTTCACATTTAATGTATGAATGTTGCCACCTACATTAGTTTATATAATTTCATTAATTCTTAATTGTGTGTGGGAAAAGTATGTCAGTATTATTTCCACTGGCCCTCTATTATTTTGTAATGTAATATTCAACATTGCAGTCTCATGTTTGGATTTTGCAGTCTTATGTGATACAGGTCCTGGAGTTTTGGTTGCAGTTTATCAGACATTCGTTTTGTTGCAGCCTAGTCATATTTCTGCGAGTGTGGAGAACTGGAGTGACAATTGTCCAGTGTGTTGCATGACCAACTTCAAGAGTAATCAGGAAATGGTTGCACACATAGAAGAACACTTTAATCAGAAAGGTCATAGAGTTAAAAGTATTGTATAATTTGCATATGCATGCATGTGCACACACTCACACACATATGTGCGCATGGTATCTAATTAATAGTAGACTAGTTTCAGTAAACTGTTGTGGCAAACATCCCACAACATGGCAGCAGGTGGTGACCATGCCATAGCAGCTTACAGGAAACTTAAATTAGACACTCTGTATGTGTGTGTGTTTGCACTTCAAAGTTATTCATAGAAATTTTCCAACTCCTCATTTGTTATTTGCGTGGTTGACCATGGGTTGTGTGCTAGTTATTAGATGATACAGTTTTTGTTCACATGACATATGTTGAAATAAAAATGTTCGCTGATATTAAGGAATGCCATAATTTGATTCAGAGCCCACTGGTCATTATTTGACATGTATGCCATGTTACATATGAGGGCTATTTGGAAAGTAACATTAATTTATTTCAGGCAACTAATGTAGGAGCAGGTGAAAGCTCACGCATGAGACCCACATGACCCATTGCTTTTTGAACCATCACAAAACTGGTCAGCTAGTGTTTGTTCTTGTCTCTATAGAGTGAGTTATGATGCGTCCTGCAATTGATATTTCCACCAGCTGCAGACTTCATGGTGTTTTCCACATTCTTGATGCTAAAAACATGAGTGGTGTGGAAATCCATGGTGAATTATGTGTGGTTTATGGCCAAAAAACTGTTCACGACAAAGAACGAAGTGGTCTGCATCTGCAGTGAGTAATGATGTTGTTCGAAGTGTTGACCAAAAAATTTGTGAAAGATGGTACTTCACAATTTCAGAACTTTCATGTGAATTTCCACAAATTTCATGCACTGTTCTGTATGAGATTATCACAGGCCATCACAAGTTTTGCACAAGATTGATTCTGAAAATGCACAAAACACAGAATGGCTTCAGCTTTGACTTTTTAGATCAATACCACAAAGGTGGCGATGAATCTCTGAATCACATCATGAGTAACAGGTGATGAAACCAGAGTTTCATGTGTGAATATTGTAACCACAGAGCAGTTAAAGCAGTTGATTTACCAAACATTTACCAAACACGGCAAAATATTTTAACAGATGGCTGCCAGAAGACTTGTGGCAGCTATATACTGGACAAGAAAGGAGCGCTAAGGATGGATGTTATTCATCAAGGACCACAGTCCTGATCTCACTCTGAGTGACTACAACCTGTTTACCTACATGAAGAACTGGTAGGGTTCACAACACTTGAATAATAATGAGGAGCTGATGGAAGGTGTCAAAATGTGGCTGAGCTCACAGGCGGTAGGCTTCTCAGACTTCTGCGACATAGGCATACAAAAACTTATTCCCCAGTTCAGTAAATACCTCAATTCCGGTGGTGACTACATTGAGAAGTAGCTTAAGTATGTACATATTTTTTGTATATAATATTTTTTTAGTGCTTGTTTTGTTAATAGCTCACTGGAGGTTACTTTCTGAATAGCCCTCATAAAATTATATTAAGCTGGCGAAGGAGTATCAGTTGTACAGAGATTCCCCCTGTCTCCTTATAATATAATTGTGCAGAGTAAAAATTATATTGCATGTGTGTAGTAACTTTTTCTGAGGAATTAACATCACTTTGGCCAGTAAAACCTTTTTGTGTAGTTGCTGATTCTAATAATCTCTTGGATGTGCCACTCTAAAGCATGTTGTTCTGTAACTCTAATCCATAATTCATAAAGAATATGGATATAAAATTTTTTTATCGGCTTTATACCAGATAGCAAGCCAGAACTCATTTCTTTCATCCCACAATCTGATCAATTTTTTTTGCAATATTGCTAAAAATTTGTGTGAGTAGCTGTAATATAATCATTCATGTAGTATTTTATGCTCTGCCATGTGAGAACACCTCTAATATTCTGCAGGTGTATCTCCAATTACTCCAGATATGTCATGTGATCGTATGCTTGCACGGGAAATAGAAAAGCGAGAGAAGGAGGTTCGGAGATTGCGAGAACAGCGGGAGTTTGAAATGCTGAGGGTAAGGGTCACTTTGTGTTATTCTGATTTTCCATTGTTGCAGTTCTACTAGGATAGTCTTAGTGACATATTTACATGTTGTATGAAATTTTGAATGTCAGTATTTGCAATTTACAAAGTGGCTTCTATAACTCATGTAAAGTCAATCAGTTTAGTTCACAGTGAGTTCTTTCTATAGCTGTGATGGTCAGATGTTGACTTTTCACCACAGGTCAGGTTGAAAGTGAGGGCAGTCCATATGCTACAATTTGTGATACTAACATGTGGTGAGCAAAATATTTTTGGCAGTTTTTTTCTCAGAGTACCTCAGTTTTCTCTTGCCTGCCATCATTCTGCCAATTCTCAATATCCAACTGTCACTGCCACTGTAGTTTACATTAGGCCCAAGCAGTCAGCACCTTCATCACAACCTTGGTCCCTAGCAGGAGCTTCTGTCTTACCTGGCATTTGGTCGACTCAGAATAAGGGTATTTAGCTTTAATTTTAGTTGTCAGTGAACAAATTCTGCCAAATACAAGCCCACAAAGACACTGAGACTGACAACTGAATATATGGTGTTTCCCACCCCCACATGATAATTCTTTGTTCCTGTGCTCTGATAACCATCCATCATATTTTCACCTAATCTAATTTACATGTGTTTTTCTCATCAGGACTTTTACTGTTGCAGAAGTTATTGTAGTAGAACTTCATTGGTATAAGTTTGAGGAGAGTGAGAAATTTACTATTCATAATAACGTGAATTAGCTCAATTTAAAGCAAAACAAGACATCGGATGTCTTTTGTTTATTTGTATGCCATGTCTCCATGCCATTACAACATAACATTCTTGTAATATTATATTTAAAATTAACTGCTGTATACCTTTCTTTATATGAATTTAAATGATGTGGTTGGTGAAATTCCTTCCGAGCACTGATCTACGTACTTATGCCTCTGGTAACTCAAGTAACATTAGCAGGATAATTTAACCTTTATCAGCTGTGTTCCATTACTGTGATGGCACATGCTTAAGTAAGCAAGCCTAGCATGGAATTGTTTGCAGAATAAATACCATTACTTCCAAGTTAAACTCAAGTCAGCAGCTCTATAGTAGCAGGAGATGTAAGTCCCCTGTTCCCACATGATAAAGGTTAAACTGTGTGTAGACAGGTACATTCTAATAAGGTGATTTACTGATCAGGCACAGTATGGAATGGACAATCAGGGAAACTTCAGGGAACAAAGCCTCACAAACATGCAGAAGGCTGTGTATGCTGGTGAAATGACGGTGGCTGATTATTATGAGCGGCAAATTGAATTGCGGGCTGCAGAGAGCAATGGTGTTGATGATGGTAGCTCCTGCACCAAAGGTAAAATAATCAAAACTATCATACTAACTCCATGGAGCAAATTCCATCTTTAGAAGTTATTGCAGTAAGCTTCCAGTTATCCAGTATCCAAATATCCAGAATTCTCATCTATCCACCAAGAATTTCGAAGAAATTTACCATTTAATAAAGTTGCTTCAAAAACAAAATTGTGACATGTATATGTTCACCCACCATGTGGTTTTCCCAGCCACCACTAACAGTGCTGCCTGTCATCCTCCCTCACACAGGTGCCATTGTGGTCATTGTGATGCATGATTACAGCAGAGGTTAGTTGAATTTGTGAACATGTTTCAGTATGATGAAAGCAGTCTTCTGGGATGTGGCACCGTGTAGATATTGTGTTTTGGAGGAACGTCAGTTAATGCAATATCTACATGGCGCCACATTCCAGAAGACTGCTTTCATCATAGTCACTGCTGTGAAAACCTTAAATCTTACATGTTTCAGTATGTCCAAAATCTTGCACTCATCAGTTAGCTGTGTCTTCTAAGAAGGCTGTCACTCAAGAATTAAAACATTGTTTTCACTTTGAAACAGAAAGTGGAAATACTGAAAGACAAATGTTGAAAAATGCATGGAAACTGGGTTCTGTAAGAGTTCTCCTCTTGTGATCAGCAGATGAGTGTAATCAGCACATCCCATCCTCATTCATGCCAGATAACAAGGAGTTCACTGTAGTCGCTTAGCTAGTCTATAAATTTCCAGTGTTTTGTGGAAACTGAAGGTATGTTGCCATGTTCACAAGCACTTGCTATTGATCCATATCCTGGGTCAAATGACTGTGGTTAACATCATCACTCCCATTCTTTCTGGTATCCATTTTAATATTATCCTCACATCAGTGCCTACATGTGGTCTCTCCTTCAGATTTATTGGTCAAAATTTTGTATGCATGTATCATATCTTCCCTGGTGCCACATGCGTCATCTTATTCTTCTTGGTTTTGAATTCAGTTCAGTTATTATTTATTTACATGCAAACTTAACAACCTGGAGGCCAGTTACAAAGTTAGCATGAGTACACAGAAAAAGACAAAAACTTCTAAACCAAATACAAAATAAGGCAGTTTATATGATGATGATGATTATGATAATTCCATGAAAAATCATTATCATTAACAGGTAAGAAGAGTAAAATAAGTATATTTGCAATGGTTATACCATTCTGTGGCAAGAAAGGATAATATTCATACATACATGTAATGATAATAACAGTAATAACAATTTAACCTATATTTATTCACTGTACTAATATTGATGAAGAATGCAAATTATTAAGGTCCCCACTGTACAGTTTTCTCCAGCCTCCTCAGACTCTGATATAGAATATTTGACTTTCTATAGCATTAACCTACTTTCTTGTCATTTAACCTAAATTTTTGTTATAGGTCTTGTTCCTAAAATTCGTGGTATCAGTGGCAGCTCACCAAATGTTGTGAGAACTCTTATGTGTACCACAGTTGACCATTATGCTTCAACTTATGGAGACAAGGGCTGGGGTTGTGGATACAGGTATTCATTTAGCTAACATATATTAAGAGTATTCTAATAAGAGGATCAATATTGCATATGTGGCTTGCTTCTAGTGTATGAAATTATTTTTTAAAGAATGTTCTAAGAGTTAGTTTCCAGAAGAGAATATACCATATGTAATTCCATAACTAATACCTGCAGTAGTGGGTTTTGGTATTAGCAGTGTTGAAAATTTGTTCTGCTATTGGAGAATATATGTTAAATATTGAAACTCTGTGTCTGATTATGGATCAGATTTCAACATTTTCAGTTATATATATCTGTAAGCATATTTCTGACATTACCAATTAGTATTTAGTATTTAGAAAGTGAAGCTACCCAAATTATATATTAAATATTCAAACTTTACATTGAATACTCAGCCTCTCTATCTGAATATGGACCAGAATTCAACCTTTACACTGACATGTATCCACTGTGCATGAGAAAGAATATCTTCTATGTGTAATATACAAGGGTTGGATAAAAAGTAGTGGCAACACTGCTGTAACATGAAAGATGTGCGTCAGGTGGCACTAGCAACGTCTGTAGCTGATAGCAGAACTTCAGTTGAAGTAGTGCAGTGAGTGGCTCTGGTTGTGTTTCATTGAGTTGCATTGTGCATCATCTTGAAGTGTAGGAGCCCAGTTCAAGCACCCTAACAACATGTTTATGAAACAGGAACAATGCTTCTGGAAAAAAATTGAAGTTACACGAGGTTGTAATGCACAAAACTGTTATCAGGGACTGTGAGAAGCATGTGGTGATGCTGCTTTGCCATATCGCACAGTGGCATGATGGGTGAAAGTGTTCTGTGAAGGAAGGGATGCCATTCAGGACAGCCATCGTTCAGGAAGACCCCATGTTGACAACCACACAATTCAGCTTCTTGCTTCTTTGCTGGATGTCGATCGCCGACAGGCTGTGCAGGAGTTAGCTGCTGAGGTAGACGTATGTCACAAAACCGTGCTCCACATTCTGCACGATATTCTTGGATACTGCAAAATTGCAGCATGTTGGGTACCCCATACAATGTCCTAGGGGCAACAATGGCAACGTTATGCAATTGCACAAGACTTGTTGGACCGGTACCAGAGGGAAGGTAATGACTTCCTTGGAAGGATCGTCAATCTGGATGAAACTTGGGCTCATACGAACCACACTTGAAGCGACAATCAAATGAATGGATGCATCCTGGCTCTCCTTGTCCAAAGCAAGTGCGCCCTACATAGAGTAATGTGAAGGTGATGTTCATTGTGGCATATTACATTGATGGAGTGATACTGCACCACACTGTACCTCAACGACAGACAGTAAACGCTGCCTGCTACTTCAATTTCATGCATAATCATCTTCGTCCAGCACTCAGGAGAAAGCGACAACACTTGTTGGCAATGAACCCCTTCATCTTTCATGACAATGCAAGGGCTCATACTGCTGATGCTGTCAAGGATCTCCTTCGCCACTGACGGTGGGAGATACTGCAACATCTGCCATGCTCACCCGATATGAGTCCGTGCAATTATGATCTCTTTGCCAAAATGAAAGAACCACTGCGAGGGACACGTTACAACACAAGAGAGGAGATTATTCTTGCTGTAGGGTGATCACTGCTGGACATCAACGGAAGTGGACACCCTGATGGTGTACGACGCCTTCCACAAATTTGGCAGAAGGTGTTGAAGGAATGTAAGTATGTTTACCTCAGGTAATAAAGTCATTTCAGAACTATAGAGGTATTGTCACTACTTTTTATCTGACCTATGTATATACTTCTCTACTATGGAGGTACAGAAAGTTTGAAGTGTATTTTAGGCTTTGCTAATAAGTTTATCAAAAATGCTTATCATGGTGAAAAGACAGAATTTTTATTTAATGGTTGTAAATTGAATTTCTGATTTTCATACAGAAATATGCAGATGATGCTATCATCATTGCTGCACCACACTGGGTACAATGAGCAGCTGTACAAACCGTCATTAGTTGGTGGTGGACTGTATGGGATGAGCGGTGGGCGTACTTGTGGGTTGGAGATGCCCAGTCGTAGTGCCATGCCATCTATTTCCCGTCTCCAGCAGCATGTTGAATGGGCATGGGGACAGGGATTTGACCTTCAAGGTAGTGATCAGCTGGGTGGGAAGCTCTTCAATACTCGGAAGTGGATTGGAGCTACTGAAGTTGTCACTGTTCTTTCATCACTTAGAATTAGGTTGGTATACTTTTAAGATGGTTCAGAATTTGTATTATCATGACATCTGGTGCCTGGGACATCTGTACCCAGAGAGTTGTTGAAGACCTGACAGTGTTAAAATTGTGATTCAAGAAACTGGGCAATAACATAATACAAATTTGTGTAATTGCTTTAATATAAATTCAGTGGAATATCCAAAAGAAGAAACTGGTTCACAGACATACACACTGGGAGGAGATTTTGTTATGTTATACATATATAATATTATATTATATCATAATTTATAATCATAATATATCATATCATATGCCATGCTGACTATCTGTTGTTGTTCCATCTAAACCTGGCTAATTTAAGCAGTTGGCCAACTTAAATTTTCACCTTTCTGTAGTGACACCATAATTAATTTTTCCACTATGTTAAGCTTTTTTGAAGTTCTCTTATTTTGTTTTTAGCCTCTGGCTACAGGACAGACTACATACTGGATATGAAATCATTTGATCTGAAGTGAAAATGAAAGAGATATTTGTACTTATGAATGTTAACCCTTTAAAGCCCGATAGGTGTACATGTATATGTGCTTTAACATACCAAAACTGCATCTGCTTGCAGAGTGTATTTGTGCTCTCATATGGTTCTCACAGCAAACAGTGATTGCTTCCTTAAACACCATTAACAAGTTGATTTTTATAGTGGAGATGTAACACATTTTCTGTGAGGAACAGACTGAATTTTTATATACTATTCTGAAGAACTTCTATTTCTAGAGGGTTAATGATCATTCAGGAGTGACAAATGTAATAACAAGAGAATGCACCATTTATTAGATATTAATTGTAGACCTACTTACAACAACGAAATAGCAGAAAGGATGTTCAGCTGTTACATAATGTATAAGGAATAGATGGTTGGAGAGATTCTTATTTCTACCGACGGGTACATAAAAATTATTCATTTTGTGTGTGGTCAACAAAGAGAGGTGAATATGTACATAGCCATAATATAAAATGCAAGAAAGTGGATATGAGACAGGGTTGGTTATGTGTACATTAATACTGTTTTGCTGGTATTATAAAAATGCAACCAGTTATGGCAGGTGGCCAATTTACAAATAAGCAACTTCACAGATTTTAATACTACCACAGTCAATAATTTCATGGACTGTCTGCAAAGCATTGTTGCAGTGCACTACAGCAGATAGTTTGAGGCACGATATGATGCCCTGTTAGTTCATCTCTCGTCACAGCAAGAGGCAGTTGTGTGCAAACAGTGTAAGCAGAACTACGGCCTCTGTTGTGTATTGCAGTTAAATGTGAGTGGCAGAAATAAAAAATATGGCACTTTGAACAACGGACAAACATCAAGTTCTGCCAGAAACTAGGCAAATCCCCTAGCAAAGCGTTTGGCATGGGAAGAATTGGATGTTGCTACACGACAATGCCCCCTGCACATCACTTTGTTCTTGTCCAAGAGGAGCTGGCAAGGCAACAGGTCACCATTTTGCCACACCCTCTGTACTCACCTGATCTCGCACCATGTGATTTCTTTCTCTTTCACCGCTTGAAAGCAAAGCTACGTGGTTGCAGATTTCAGTCATCCGAGGAGGTCGTCAGTGCCACAAGAGACAGTGTACAGGAATTTCGCGCCAATATGTTTCAGCAGTGTTTTCGGCAGCTATATCAACGTTGGCAGACTTGCATATCAGCCAACGGCAACTATTTTGAGGGTCGATGTGGATCTGTGTAATTGTATGTGAATACCTTGTAATATGATGAAATAAGACCACAGTCCACGAAATTAATGACTGTACCACGTGTACATAGTACACGTAAGAGAGGACTGAGATAGTGAAAGGTAGTGTCAAGATTTTGCAGCTACACGTTCTGAGCCCCCCAGAATATGCAAAAAGTGGTTACTGGTATGGTATATGTGTTTATGTATAAGTTGGGGTGTTCCTTGCTAGCACCTGAATGGGTGGACACATTTTTATCATTATTTGATATTCAAGAGTTTATCCATCAGGGGTTGATGCCTAGTGAATGTGAGCATTCCAGCTCCAAAAAAAACAGGGCTCTTCAGATAGGCTCCAAAACAAAATAGTGATCTTCTCAAAAATGGCTGCAATGATTTTGTTAAATTACAGTAATTTAGGTAGACCATCTCCCAAAATGAAACTGTCTAGATGGTATTCTAATGTGGATGGTCAGAGCATTTCTAGACAACGACCTGTAAACAACATTCAGTCACGTTAGCGCACTCAACAATAGGATGAATGTTTATAGTTCATTGCTAGGCAACAGTCAGTGCATCAATAGGCTGGCGAAATGATTATCATGTGACTGGCTTTCTATGGGGTCGGGGCCACGACCATTACTATGCAGTGTTGCGGTAAACACTCCTCTACAACAATAGAACTGGGTTTTCTGTGCATGGTTGGTGTGGAGGCTACATAACAAGATTCAACACAGAACAGATTTCAGTCACCCATGTGGAGGTGGGGTCAAATGCCTCCGCCATGACCCTGCGAGTTGTAGGAGGCGACGAAAAGGGAATTCTCAAATCTGAGACAGTAATATATGGCTGCGAGTACCAAGGGACTCAGACCTGAGAAAGACTGCGCTGGCAAGGACCAGCAGCAGACAGACTCATCCTCTCATCAGAGAGGGCACCCCTCAAAAAACAAAGACCATAACTGTCAAACAATAATAAATATCTGGTCATGAGCTCCAGATGGGGCTTGACACCAAGACTTACTTACTGACTGACTGACAGACAATCAATTGCAATATGACTTGGATTTTTTTTTGACAGATTTCAGTGTTTCAGTTTTAAATGACAGCGAGTTTTTAAGTGCAGTTCCGTTCAAGTGAGTTCTGGGTGGAAGATGGCCACGTAAAGTTAAGAGAGATGGTCACCACAGTGCTAATAAATCCAATCATCCGCACTAGAACCTGTTTTCATTGCGCATACCACCATACACATGCAGTATGTTCAAAAAATAATGATACGTGCACTAGGGGACCAAACACAATTTTGTCATAACTGGCTTTACCAGTCAGATGGATTTCATTGTTGTCTGGTATTCAGCAGCCAGTGGTGTACTGAACAACAATTTCATTTTGAAGGTAAAGTTATAAAGGTCAGTTGTGTATAAGAATGTATGTTTACTGTCTTTGCACAAATTTCTTTTGATAAGAAAGGTGCGGAGTCTTTCCTGAAGAACAGAATTGTGTGACCTCTTACCATTGGCCTGTTAGCTGGAACCTTAGCCATCATCTGCCAAGCTGTCAGACTCTATGCCATGCATTGTAAACACAGACTTTGATTTCTGGAAGTATATAAATTTTTTTAAAGAACCCATCATCATAGTAGATAACCACAATGTCTCCCTTCTGCTCTTAAACAAATTTCAAGATTATGTAATAGTAGTTTGAATTCACAGACCTTGACAGATATAACTGTTTCACAAGCGTTGTGCCGAAGTTCATCCAATATATGAGAATTATATGAATATATTTTGTTTTTTAGGTTGCCCCACAGGTAAAAATCACAGGCATTTAAATGTGGAGACCTTGCAGGTGAATAGTCTGTGAATTGTCAGTCTATTTTCAAAGACCTCATTAAAACATTAATGGAATAAGTAGCAGTGGATGCTATAGCACCATCTTGCATAAAGTAACCATATGTTTCTTAATTCTGTCTGGGGGAGGAGGGAAAAGAATGTCATTGACATACCACTCTGAATTAACAGTCTGTTAAAAAATATGGATCCTGCTATTCATGTAGCAGTAATGGCACACCACACACCAATCTTCTGATTGTGTAGGGATACTTCAGAAGTCTTTCAGATTAATTCTGCTCCTGTACCTCTTGTTCTGGGCATTGATGTATGTGCTCAGATGGAACCAAGTTTCTTCAGTAAAAAATGGAACATTAGGATCAATAACACCCTCATGTACTGCCCACAAAAACCAGTTACAAAAGTGCATTCTTTGCTTGTTAATTGCCTTCTTCGGTTGCTTGAACTTAATTTTTATATGGCAGCAGATATAACTTCTTAGTTGCTGTCTGTGCTGTTGTCATCAAAACATGTGCCTGTTGAACTAATCATTTGAGAGATTTGCAAGGTGAATATTATAATCTTGTTCCAGTTTTTTCAAGCTTTTCCTCAGCACAATGTCCTGTCTAATGTATTTCTTGTCCAAGAAAGACCCAGTTGAATACACCTTCTTCACCCGTTCAAAATTTTGACGAAACTGGAACTCGAATACCAGGATACTTATAGTGGCACCTTCTTTTACACAATTTGTATGATTTGTTTTTCACATATGTGGGTCATTTCATAAATAATGCACAGGTTGGCAACACTGCAGATTAGATGACGCAACAACAGTGAGCCTCACGTCAGTTACAGTTCAAGGCTTGAGAAAGAAGTGTGTTATTTTGTTTCATTTATAATGTACTCTGTTCTTAAATAACGTGAGTTAGAAATGGAGCCTGCACGGTTCTCGGGTATTGTGACTGTTGAAGATCAAAGGTCATACATTAAGATCGAAACTTTGCATAGAAAAAACCCGACAGAAATCCACAGTGCTTTAAGTGAAGTTTGTGGTGAGTTAACAGTGGACCATAGTACAGTTTCTCGCTGGGCTAGTCGTTTTTGTGGCGGTCGTGTGAACATAAACGATAATCCAAAGCCAGGAAGGCCGAAAACATCAACAGATGAACGAAGTGTGAAACTTGTGTCAGATGCTCTTGGAGAAGATCGTCGTGCGACATGTGAGGAACTTTCTGAAACCACGGGGATTCCATCAACGTCAATATTCCGAATTCTGACAAATGATTTAAAGAAGAGAAAGATTTCTGCGTGATGGGTCCCTCACTGCTTGACTGCTGAACAGAAGCAGAAACGCCTCGACATTGCAACCTTGCTGAAACAAAGATTCAACAATAAAGGTCAAGCATTCTCTGTATCGACTTGTCGCTATTGATGAAACATGGGTTAGAGACTTTGAACCGGAGCTGAAATCACAGTCCAACAAGTGGAGAGGTCCATCTTCCCCACGACCAAAAAAATGTCGACGATCTCAATCAAAGGTCAAACAAATGATGATCTTTGTTTATAATCACCAAGGAATCATCATGACAGACAGAGTTCCGTGCTGGAAAAGTGTCACAGCAGTTTATTATCGTGACTTTATGCAAAATCTGCGCAGAAACATGCACAAAAACCGACCTCAGTTGCTCGAGGCTGGGCCAGTCATTCTCCATGACAACGCTCTCCTGCACATCGGGAATGTCGTAACAGAAAAGCTGCGCCAGTATGATTGGGAGGTGTTGCCTCATGCTCCCTACAGCCTGGACATGAGTCCGCTAGACTTTGACGTATTCCCAAAGTTGAAAAAACCTATGCGAGGCTGTCGTTTTCCCTCTCTGGAAGAGCTTTCTGCTGCAGTTACCCAAGCCATTCGACAGATAAACAGAGATGGTGTCCTGGATGGAATAGTAAAGCCTCCCACATGTTGAGACTCAGTCATTGAGAAGCAGGGGGACTGTATTGAAGGACTGTAAAGAGATATTAAAAAAATAAACATGGACATAAACAAAAAATTGTGTGCATTATTTCTGAAATGACCTACATATGCATCATACAGAAAACCTGCTGTTCAAGTATATATTTCGCCACTTCAGTCCACTACTGTAAATGAGATCATGAAACATATACAAAAGTGTTACCAGAACAGAAACACAAAAGGAACTTATACGTATCACAGTGAGTTATTTGTAGCAGGAGTCTGTGCAGTGAAGATAAACATTAACAGAGACTGCATATTTATGTTAGTTGTCTATTTCCCCATCCATTTATCACTTAAAGCACATTCAGCTACCCTTTACTGGTCTTCTCAGTCAGAGCAGCCAGATTGACCTTTTCAGGAAAGTTTGACAAAATAATCATACAGGTGTTAAACATATTGTCACGTGTTGGGTATGTAACACGACAAATAACTTTACACCATATTGAATATAGCGAATTTATTCCACATTCGCTAGTACACTTATACAATTCACAATTTCACAGTTACTGCCATCTGCAGTATCACACTTACTTCTCCTGCTGGAGTCCCTGCCATTCACTCAATACAACTCAATAACAGTGGACTTCAACTCACTCCAGCGAACGCTTGACTACAACTGACTGGTTACTCTGTCTCTCTCCCTAGTAACTCTTATAAACCCTCAGTCGGATAGCAGAAGACCCACATCGCTTCACTGTTGCATAAACGCCATGTTTACAGGCGTTCCTGGGGAATGCTGCTGAGAGTTGTTTATTGCTGTGTACTAACCACAGTGGCCCCTGTTACGTCACTGTGGGAACTGCTGTTACGTCACCGCAGGAGAGAGGGATGGAGTGTTGACTGGCCTGTTACCGTACAGTTGCTCCGATGCTGTTACGTCACCACTGGAGGCGGGGTGTTTACCGAGTGTTGCACCGTCCATGTCACATTGCTCCCTTCTAAAGGTTGTTCATCCCGAACAGCCTAATGGTACATCCCCGTTCTCTTCTTTCTGGTGTTCGTCTTTGGGGCGCTATCTCCACTCTCCCTTTTCAAAGGTGCTTGTCACAAGCAATTCCATGGTCCATCGTTGGTCGATCCGTTGTTTCACATTCATTCGTCGCTCATTCACTCTCGTTGGGTAGACCGGTACTTCTACATTACCGGCTCCTCTATCCGTTGTTTTCTTTTCCGTTTTTGAGGGGGTCGACCCCTCCACAAGGTCCAATTCTTATTTCGTCGTAATCAGACAGAAGATCCGGCTATTTGCTTCATGATCTTCCTGCCAACAATCTCGTAGAACATAATTTTCTGAGTTCCTCTCCTTCCTAGTTGTGATTGCTGTCCTGATCTACAGCCTCCGATGGCGTTCTTGTTGTCACCTTTTTCTTCTGACATAGCGGCCATCTGCCGCCTAGGTTCTTTATTCCTGTTCTTCCTTTGTGGAGAATCTGCATTCTTTATGAGTTTCCAGATTCTTTCCTCATACTTGGTCCTGGTACAGTTTCTTCTACCGATGCTTCTCTTGCGCCAGGCCATTCTTGGATGACCGGACATCTTTCTGCCGGTTTCCTTTGTCTGCTATGCCACTTTCGCACGGTGGCTCATCCCTCTCCATGCAACGGCCAGTCCTTTTCTTTGGCACCCATCCTGACACTGGGTCCATTGATTCATCTGGCAGCGACACTCCGCGGCCAGTTTTTGGTCCCTACACTGTTTCTTCTTCAGTTCTCCGACCGTCATTACTTAGGCACCTTCTACGGGGACCTCTCGTTGTGTTGCCTCAGGTTTCATGTCCACTGAGGTTGGCTCTTCTTCTTCTGGACGTGGCTCCATCTCTTGGCAGGCTATCTTCTCTTTTCTGGTATTCGTTGTCTCCAACCGCATTGAGCGGATTTCTTCTTGCCAGGCTCTCATTTCTTTCAGCAGGAGTTCCATCATCTGCTGCATTTCCATTTTGTGGCAGTATAATAGTCAGTGCACTCATAAGTTCAATTATTTTTCGAGGCGTGTTCAAGTTCGTAAACCAATTTTGACACCAAATTGTCACATGTTGGGTATGTCACGCGACAAATAACTTCACGTCACATTGGATCTAGCGAATTTATTCCACTCACTCTTACAATTACTGCCATCTGCAGTATCACACTTACTTCTCCTGCTGGAGTCACTGTCATTCACTCAATACAACTCAATAACGATGGACTTCAGCTCACTCTGGTGAATGCTCGACTGCAACTGAGTTGTTACTTTCTGTCTAGTAACTCTTATAAACCCTCAGTCGGACAGTGGAAAACCCACATCGCTTCACTGTTGTGTAAGCGCTGTGTTTACAGACGTTCCTGGGGAATGCTGCTGAGAGTTGTTTATTGCTGCGTAGTAACTGCAGTGACCCCTGTTACATCACCACGGGAGAGGGGGACGGAGTGTTGACTGACCTATTACCGTAGCAGCAGCAGTTGCTGTTACGTCACCGCTGGAGGGGGGGGGTGTTTACCGAGCGTTGCACCGTCCACGTCACAATATCAGTCTGTTTATCTGTTTAATCACCCTGCTTTCAGTGAATTTGGTTAAGTGGTCAGTAAGTTTCCTGACTCCACCAGAACAACATTGAGCCAGAAGCAGTTCTTCTACCACTTCTTTCACTTTGTCATTGCTGCAGAATTTCTAGCATTCTGATGGTTCCTTCAGAAGAAGTAGAAGTCAGACTGGTCTGTGGATACTGGATGACTTAAGATTTCATATTGTTAATTGATTTCACAGTGTAAGCAGCTGCATGGAGGCCAAGTATTACGTTGGAGCAGCACATCATTTACAAGTAGTCTGGAATTTTGGGTGAATTGCTTGCTTTAATCTAACACACTACATGTATCACTGCATTGAACACTATTGAGTGTTGTTCCTGTCTTTTGAAAGTGAATTCCTATTGAAGGCTGAGATTTGAACTTTTTGGTGACCTATTTGTTTCAGATGTCAGTTGGTAGATTTTCATAGACCTACAAGTCCTGATGGAAGCCATCCAGAGCTATTTAATTGGGTACTAGAGTACTTCCAGAAGAATGATGATTTCAAACCACCATTGTATTTGCAGCACCAAGGTATGGTTCATATCAAAATTGGCTGTTAGGAAGTGGTTTTTCCATGCTTATAGTATACATACTTCTCTCACAGACACATGAATTGTGGTGGAAATGACATACACCTATATTGAGGTGGTGTAAAATTACCATTTTGTTAATCAAAATATATTCTTTTGCTTCACATCATTATCATTTACTTAAAGTCAGCGTTTATTAGCCTGTTCCACCTCAAGAACTATCATCCCATCGTCTTGGTTGTCCAACGTTTCTTCATCCATCTGGCTGGCAATTCACTTGCTTCACTTGTACTGCTCTTTCTTAAGAATAATGTTAGGGATATGATTTTAACTTCCCCTCGGTTTTGTTTCTTTTGTTTTCTTCTTTTTCCCCCTCAAATTTATCTTTGTTGTCCAGTGATCCAGTAAACTATTTGAATTCAAAAGAGACAACTGAAATGGGAGAATAATAAGAACACACTTCCTACTTCTGTCACATGTAGTTTAGTTGGGGGAAATAAGAAGTGTGTACAGAATTTGGGGGAGAAATCTTTCAGATGGTGGCCACTTGTAAGGTCAAGACTGAGACAGGAAGATTTTGTTAAAATAGGCTGCGACTGGAACTGATTAAGGATAAAGATTATGTTCTTCTAGGATTTCATGCAATATATACCATGGCGCAAAAGTCATTATCCATTGGTGTGTAATGTTTGGCTAGTATATTATTAGGCATAGAAACAGGTTTCAGCAATTGCTTCACTACCCATTGTGGGATGTCAGTGTTTGCTGAGACACCAACTTCAAACTACAACCACAAATGTCTGTTGCACTTAGAACATATATTACAGACGAGCCAGGAGCATGTCTGAAGAGTACCAGCAGCGACTCCTTTTGTAGCGGCCAGTTCAGCCCGGCGGTGATGGTGAAGATTGTAGGCCCTGGAAAGGGCCGTTAATTCACTGGTGTCTTCTTTGTAGCAGTCCGGGTCTCCTTTATGGCCACTCAATGGTTACGAACTGGCGAGATAGCTGTGGGTGTGGCAGGCTAGGCGCGACAGTGCATGCTGGCAGAGTCGGCTGCCTTGGTGCATGTGCTCATACTGGAGAGCAGGAGTCATGTTGCAGCTTGCACTTGCAGGGAAGCATGTAACGGATTAAGACTGATGCAAGGCAGTTGGAGGCCCGCATTTTATACCATTACCGCTGGGCAGAGCTGGCGATGGAGCTGCGATTATGGGTGCTGATTGGCTAGTGCTTGTGTTTGTCTCCAGAGGGCTGGACTTCAAGCGATGTATAAATATTGCCTCGTCCTGTTACGAGGTGAGAGTTATCTGTTGTCTGTTAGACTGGTGAAGTTGTGTGTTAGAATGTGGGAGGTTCCCACACCATCTACCTGTTAGAGCATGCAAGTATATTTATGCGTGTCGAAATAGCTGTTCCATGTCATTTCTGTTCTATTCTGTCTTGTATAATAAGTGTATTTCACATGCAGTTATGTTGACTAAACAAGAATGGATTTTTACTTTAAAACTGTGGTGTAAAAGTGGCTTTCCAGTGATTGGTGCACAATGGTGTGATCATTTTGATTGTTTTCCAACAACATGTAAGTTTGCATACAAGCAACATTAGTGATTTGGAGAACATAGCATGGTATTTGATTCTCCAAGAACATGTGGACCCAGAACAGCAAGATTGGAGAAAGTTAAAACATTAATTTTCCAATCAATAATCCAAAGTTCTAGGAAGCATATCCAAAGGTTTTTCTGGAACAAGGACTATCCTGACAGTCAGCTCAACAGATATTATATGAAGCCAGATTTAAGCATTACGTTCCAAGATTAACCCATGGGTTGCTAGAAGAAGATACTGATTATGGACTTCAGTTTTGTGAGCTCATATTAAATGAACTGATGAACACCTTTATTTGTTTCATGAAATAATCTCGACTGATGAAGAATATGTTAAACTATTTGGTCAGGTAAACAGGCATAATTGTTTATATTGGTGTACAGAAAACCCATACATCACAATGGAAAGTCAGTTTAAGCAACCAGATGTTAGTGTCTCAGGTGGCATCTCTATCTTTGGAGTACTGGACCATATTTTTTTGAAGGCACAGTAACAGGAGAATAGTAATTGAAGATGCTGCAAATTTACATTGTTCTGGGACTTCAAATGCATTATGACAATTTCAACAACATTTATGTCCAGCAAGACAGCACTCCTTACCACTACACTATTCATCTATGAAAGTTCCTGGACAACACATTTGTCAGGAGAGTAATAGGCAGATGTAGGTGAATTGACATGCCATGAGGGTCACTAGACTTAGCACCCATGCATTTTTTTTATTTCTGGGGTGTTTTTGGTAACAAAGTTTATACTATGAAAAAACCCAAAGCATAAGATGGTCATAAATCAGCCATAGAGGACACCTTTGCAAAAATCGATAATGACCTACAGCTTTGCAAAACAGTTTGTTTGAGTGTTCCTGAATGTCTTTGGCAGTGTATCAGTTCAGAAAGTAGTCAGGTTGAACATTTAAGAAAATTTGAACATAAAAATGATATTAATTGTCATGTAGACATGAATAATAATAAAATGAAATAAACTGATACAGTAGTAATACAATATGACTTCTTTCTTAACTCTGTGGGTAGTGACTTTTGTGTCATGCTGTGTATTGGTAGGTGGCAAAGCAGCTTTCTCTGAAACACTGAAAACCTTGTACAATACTGTGGGGCCTCACATTCCTGAAGACAGTAATTGTCACAGTCACTGCTGTAAGAATGTCAGATCTCATGTGGTGAAGGGTATAATCCTGTGACACTGTTTAGCAATACTGAATTTTTAGGCTCAAATATATTAGTTTTCCAGTAATGTGATGTTATATTATTTCTAAAGCACGATTAACCCAAACACTCTACTTGTAATTGCTTATGATACTGCCACATGTTAGTGACTAGACATGGCGTTTGGATTGATAATTGTATTTATTGAATGTTTATAACTTGTAACTGCAAATAATTATAACACTTTCACTAATCCACACACTCTACAAATCACTGCTACAAACACTAAATCTTCATTAGTCATTGCTTGGTAGCAGTGTGTAACAGCACAACTGAAGGCGGTAACTGCTGACACCTGACTCACACCTCAAGACTAAATACTGACTGTTGACCTGGGTAGTGTACTCATTATATAATCCTGGCACAGACTGCATACAAAACACTGCTTTCAGGAATTCCTTATTGTTGAGTAACATGTTAAGTGGGCTGTTGCCCAGTGATGACCCACATGTTCTTGATACAGGAGTGTGTTTACCGGCTGTTGCATAGTAATGAGTGACTCTTTTGGGTCCGCTGTTGTGGCTTTCAGCCACTGTGTCACAATACATTTAAAATAGGACCGAAACATGGTATATTCTTGTGTTTGTTTGATAGGTCACAGTCGTACTATTGTGGGTGTAGAGCAATTGAAGGATGGTGGCCAGTGCTTGTTAGTTTTTGACCCTAGTCACTCCCCACGTCAGATGGCTCAGTTCAGAAACACTTCAACAGCAGTGGCAGGAATGCGACTGATTCGCAAGTCATTGGCAGCTATGAAAGCTCGACAGTATCAAGTTGTTGCTGTCTGTGGTATTATGGATACAGAATATGAATATCAGGTAATTAAATTCTCATTTAATTTCAGTTGAATGTTTTCAGGCTGTGATGTGTTCCTTAATTTGCTTAAAGGTAGTGGCATTAATTGTGCAGGATGTGAACTGATTATTTTACCAACTCTTTAAGAAGTGAAAATATATATTTTGACAATATGTTTTAGATTAAGAGACCTCCAGTGTTTTAATATACAATATGAAAAGATTATGCCTGTCCGTACGTCATTGGCCACACATCCAATGTAAACTCCAAAAAGAAGCATTTATGTTTTAAGTTCTTAGAAAAATTGGGTAATGTTGATCATATAACCCCATTATAATTCTGCTTTTAATCAAAGTTCTGGAAGTAAAAAAAGTAAGGTAAAGCTATCTCTATAACAGGCCGTGGAGGCCCATAGTGTTTTGAGATGTCTGGGCTCATGCATTTTCTAGACAGTCGGCTCACAGATGGCAGTGACATTAGCCTTACATATCCACTGCCCTTTACCCCCAGAAAGATTCCTGGTACTCATTTCTGTTAGAGGCTGAGTTGACCCTGGGCCATAATTCTGTATCTTTTCTTTTAACCTTTAAAGGATGAATGACCAATATATTGGCAATGCAGTGAGGCCACGCCATAGCTCAAGTGGTCAGTCGCTGGCTTCCCACCATGGTGGCCTGGGTTCGATCCTGGGTCTGGTCAATTGGGATTTGTGGTGGACAAAGTGGCACTGGGGCAGGTGCATACATAATCTCTTTTACTTGCATTCGACTGCTAATTGGGTGCTGTGCTTTACAAGTGAAGTCCCACCTTCTCTTTGCTGCATGCCTGCAAATCCCACCCACATTCTGCTCACAGATCCCTGCCTGTGCATAAATGTGTGAATAGACAGTTGGAGTATTTACATATTTAAGAAATAGTTTTGAGAATGAATATGTGGGCTCACATCGAATTGGAGTAACAGACCAACAAATAATGCAGTTTATATCTTGCTGATATTTGATGTACATGCACTACAATGGATTTTTAATATCAAGATTTGAATACACAGATGCATGTTATGTATATAAGAGATGGTTGTGAAACAGCCATTAGACCTAACTACATAATGCATGTTATGGTAGTACCATGTAAATCAGATATAAACTTATAGGTATGTAATTTTCTAAGTTAATAAAATTAAGTTTAAGTAAATTATGACACTTGTAATTAAAATATCTCTATAATGTTGTGGTATGTAGACTCGTTGCTAGGCACGAACCACGAAATAAGCAACTATATAATGGGCATTGCCAAGTAACGGCTTCGCAAACAAGCACGTTTCCACAGCAATAAGAGAGTACAACAGTAATTGGGAGTGGTGTTTCCTATGCAGTATGTGCTGAGATGTTAAAGCAGAACAAATTAGGAGTCAGTGATTTTAGTGAGGAGTTGGTTGGTGAGTTAGTGAGTTAGAGGACTGCTGTGGTTCAATCGTGAGCTGTTGCTGTTTAAAGCTAGTAGGTGAGGCTGGGTACAGTTTGGGAGCCCAGAGGAAGGAGAACGTCTGCCATTGGAAGCCACTACTAAGCAACAACTAGTGAAGATGTGACTGTGGACACTGGTATGTGTGTGTGTGTGTGTGTGTAAGGTGTAGTGACGCACTGTATCAAACGAGTCCAGTAAATCCAGTCATCAATCCAAACCCCGTATATAGTCGTTCTATCATATGACAATATGCAAGAGTGTAATCCATAATATCTTAGTTTCCATGCCAATGGCATTATGCTGGTTTCACAGATCTCATCTCATCATGTCTATCACACAGTCACAAACTAAGGTTGCAAAACAAATTTCACCAGTATATGCTAAAAAAAGAAAAGGAACAATGTTAAAGCAAGTTTTCACATGCTTGAAGTCGCGACATTTCCAGTTATGATGGTGTACAGTGTTTTACAAGCAGGAAAGTCATGACAGGTGTCACCAGGAATCAAGGTTAAAACCTTAAACATGTGCATGTATAGTTGTATTATGCAACTTCTTTGCCTGAGATCAGTGGACGCTCAGGAGAAGGGGAAACTTGTGTGACAAGATGTAGAAGATACTGCATGGTGACTGTGTAAATAAGCCAAGCAACATGATACACAGTGATACAAGCTACCGGACTCATGAAATTCAGAGGATGTAAGAAAATGTACATTTTTCAGTGGTTGAAACATGGCAGCATTCTGGAATGTGAAGTTTAACCTAGTTAAGAATAGGACAGAGAGTCTGGGTTACTTGAACCTTTACGGACTGTTAGCCATAAATAATTTCGAAAGCAAAACTGCAAGTAGAGTAGATGCAAAATTTGGGGAAAAACAGTGGCAGCTAGTTGAAACTCGCTATAATGAAGGCATGGGGAACAGCCTCATTTTATGTGATGTTTCCATACATGTAATACTAAGATACTGACGGTCCCATTCGTTCTTGTCACTGTAATAAATGCCTTGTTATAAGCTAGACTAGCCCTGTCATGGTTTCATTGTGCCATATGCAAAGTGAACAGTTCTTCCTAACCTGTAATAATTATAACTATGTGTCTAATATGGATTAACCATCACCACAAAATTTCAGTCATTGCAGTTTCATGGGTAATATTGCAGATATTAGCACAACTGCTCACAGAAGGTGCCAGTTGGGTTTTGACATCTCTTTTTCTAGAAGTTTGCATGGCATACAGTATTGCCATATTTTTTTTAGTAAAATAATCTGTTATTAAAACTATATTAACCAAGAGGTGAGCATTGCCATCTCTTACAGAAAATGAGCACTGGATTTTGATTGTATGGTGACTCTTGTTTTCGACCAGACTGATGTGATTAAGAGATGGAAATCTACATTATGTGTCCACAAATATGTACTTTTGCATGATAATACTATGTACAGCCATTGTTACACATTTTTATAATTTTCATTATAATAAAAGATAAAGTTACACCACATTTAGTTCTAGATACTGCAAAAATAGCCTGGTCATTTCATAAAGAATTAAAAATAATTAGAGGGGAGAGTTCTGTACCCAAGATAAATGGTAGACAGTGTTGTCTACAACAACATTAAGTTGGTTCAGATCCTACCTAACAAATAGAAAACAAAAGATTGAAATAAAATCATCAAATTCAATCCAAAGTACTTACTCAAACTGGGGAATAATAAAACATGGAGTTCCACAGGGGTCAATTTTGGGGCCTTTGCTTTTCATAATTTATATAAACGACCTCTCTCCTGCACTAAGGACCTCATCAATACCTATAATATTTGCAGATGACACTAATGTTATAATTTCTGGTAAAAATTTAGATGATTTCTGCATGTTATAAAGCAAGGTTCTTTCGCAAATGAGTAAATGGTTTTCTGCAAACAAGCTGTCCCTGAACCTAGAAAAAACAAATGTAATAAAATTTATAAAAAAAAAGCTCACCACAGTATCCATTAAACATAGGCTATAATGATAAATATATAGAAGAGGGTTAAACACAAAATTCCTTGGCTTGCAAATTTATAATCATTTAAACTGGAAAAACCATATCAATCAGTTGATTCCAAAGTTAAGTAGAACATGTTATGCAGTTAGATTCATGTTACATATTAGTAACATTGACACTCTCAAATCAATCTATTTTGCTTACTTTAACTCTTTAATGAAGTATGGAATAATTTTCTGGGGTAATTCATCTGACAGTAAAAAGGTATCTGCACTGCAAAAGAAAATTGTTAGAATCATGATGGGTGTCAAATCCCATAATTCCTGTAGAGATCTATTTAAGAGACTACAGATCTTAACTTTGTCTTGTGAATATATACATTCTTTAATAAACTTCATTACAAATAACGAAGAACATTTTCAGACGAATGTGGATGTGCACAGTGTTAACACAAGACATAAACCAATTGCTAATCTCTCATGCTTTCAGAAAAGTGCATATTATGCTGGGATCACCATTTTTAATAACCTGCCATCTGATCTCAAAGGTCTTATGCATGAAAAGGCACGATTTAAAATAGCACTGAAACGGTACTTAAATACACATTCATTCTACTCTGTTGATGAATACCTATTGTATAGAAAATAACTTATGTATCTTTAAATAGCCTTGTGTGTAGTCACTGTGTATTCTGGGTTTCTCTTGTGTGAGAACTGCATTGGGTCTGTACATGTTTTGTATTTATATGACATATTCCACATCCTACAGTCATTTTGACTAACTTCAGATCCATGGAATACAATGTAATGTAATGTGATTCAAACATTTTGCATGGTTATGCCATCTCTTCCTATACGAAGAGTGAACCATTATTAGTCGTTGCATTTGGAGAAATTTCTGCAGCCAGGACATCAAGGGATTTTTAAGTTCCCACGTAGTCATTACGCAAACTGATTTGCTTGAAAAGTTGGTGCAGCAAGGGCATAAAGTGAAAAAGCATAATTTGTACTTACCAGCACAATGCTAGAAAACAAATTCTCTGCCTTGTAGTGGTGTATGACAATCAAGTTTTGAGAGAGTTTGTAGTGTTTCACTGGCTCAGATTGTCTCCTGTTCTCTAGTACAAAATATACACATATTCCTTTCTTCTTATAACTATCACTTACGCTTCTATGTACACAAACAACAAAAACCCGATAAACTATTAGACCTACACTAAAACTTTTTGAAGTTCTTGAGATTGTGATATCTTTAGAAACATTCCTCAGAACACATGGCCAGTTGATTTGTGCAGGTCTTACAATAGAAATAGGTTTCTTTTCTGGCTCCCTTGGTCTTCTGATTGCTGCACGGAATGCAGTCTTTGTATTTCTTTTTTCCACAGTGGTAGAGGAAGTAAGGCGCTGTACTTAGTACCTCTTCTCTCTCAGCTGACCCCGGGTTTGACCTCTTTCTTGGGTTGTGCACATCCCCTATTAGATTTTCAACAAGAGCTCATTGATACTCAACATGTACACATTTGTTTCATTCCCATGTGTACCTTGTGGCTGCTGTACAAAATGTATGAATTTGCAATTTCCAGGCACCAGAAAAAGTTTTCTCCGCCACTTGAGAGATTTACGAAAGAAAGCATATGTTGTGCAGTAGTGATCACCGCGATCTACACCACCCGTATGCTTTGTATAGTCAAGTACACACATTGGCTTTTGAATTTCTTCTTGCTGCCTCCCTTTCTGAATGGTCACTATTTTTTCCATTGATGTGTCATGATATGTACACATCATGAGAACCACCCTCTTGTCTTTCCAACCCATTAGCAGGACATTCCTTCTTCTGTAGGCAAAAGTGTCCCCATTCTTCATATTCTTCATGGCCCCCTTCCTCAATGGTTTTGGATTGCCAACTCTACCAGCAATAATAGTGCCTGTTGTGTGGTATTTTTGATTGTCCAATTCTTGGACCAACTGAACACCACTATATCTGTCAGTGAAAAGTGTTAGCCTTCAACACCAGATACACTGAGATCTAGTCTGTCCATCAAGAAAATAACTATTCTTGAAGTGAAAGGTTTTTCTGAGTATGGCAAGTTACACGCTTCACCTGTAATTTTTCCGTAATACAGAATTATACTGTGAGCATAACCAGTGTCACTGTCGGCTAATACAAATAATCTGATGCCCCACCTTGTAGGTTTTTTTGGAAATTATTTTGTCCTTGAACCCAACTCTTGATTCATCTATTGCAATGTTTCTACCTAGTGCAAAATATTTCTGAAACTGTTTCCCTGTATATTCTATCACCCCATGTACTTTCCTTGTTCTTTTGATGACCCTATTCCCTTCTTCGGTGGTATTATTTCCCACATGAATCATTCAAAATGTCTGCAAAAAGCGAACTGTAGACATTACATCACCAAAAAATGGTTATCTATGTTGCCCACTCACTAGACCATTAGTCTTTTATGTTGGGCAATGGCATTGGGCACATATAAAAACTCCTTCATTTCAGGAACTGACACATCAGACCAGCTACTCCAAATGTACCTTGGGCTAAGCTGAAGTCCCAAAATTTTGTGTCTCGCATACCTCTTTGTCTCTTTAACAATGATTCGAAAGCTCACAATTGAAAAATAAAGTAATATAATCCATGGGCTCTGCATCTGGTAGAAGGTTAAATTGTGGCCCTGCATTTTTAGTAAAAGTGTATGCCTTGGGGTTCTTGTCCCCCATCATCACATCTTCCCACCCATCAACACGCATAACACCTGTTTCACTCTCGCTCTCACTTTCCAACATTTCATCGCTTGATTCTTCACTTGCAGTTTCTTCTACATTTTTCAAATCCATCTGATCATCAGAGTCTATATTGAGTTCTTCATTTAACCAAGCAAAATCTGAGTCTTCATTCTCAACATACACAGCATTAGATTTCAGTTTTTTCATGCCAGAAAGCACATGTGTAGCCGAACGCAAAACCATGTTCCTAACACTGATACACAGTAATATATGCATGGCAATCATTCCTCAAGTAGTTCAAATTATGACTTCTAGATGGCAGGAGAATGCAGACTAAACATACATGATTGCAGTGGTATAGTATGCAATGGGAAGTAGCGACATATGACCGACTTATGAATATCTGTAAAATAATCTGAATGTCCAATTCTGTGAATAATATGGTAATAAATAATGAGAAGACTACAGCAATGTATTTCCATATGAATAAACTACAGGATAGCATTGAGCCAGTAATTACCTTTAAAAATATAATAATTAATTATACAGCACAGTTTAGGTTTCTTGGTATTAATTTAACCCACAAATTAAAATGGAACATTCATATTCAGTCGGTCTGTACGAAGCTCAGTAAGGTGTGTTACATTATTAAAGCTTAGAAAGGCGAAGTAAGCCCATATGTCCTTAGGAATGTGTACTTTGCTAAATTCCAATCTCAAATAAGTTATGGTTTGATATTTTGGCGGGGAGAAAGTGAAAGTAAAAAAATTATGATTTTACAAGAAAAGGTTCTTGAATAATGAAAGGGGTAACAAAAAGAACATCATGTAGACCTATATTTAGATAATTAAAAATTTTAACGGTAACATCTTTGTATATTTTAGAGGTGTTATGCTATTTCAAGAAATATAACATTTACACCACAAAAAACTCTGACCTACATAAGTATGACACAAGAAAGAAAAGACCTTCACGTAGCAAAGTTATAATACCTTAACATATGAGAAGGGTGTTACAAATATGGCTATTAAGCTATATAATAGACTGCCTTTGGAATGAAGAATGGTAAAAGCAGCTAGAGAATTCTTACATAGACTCAAAAGATATTTACTGGAACACCCATTGTATAATTTGCATGAGTTCCTCTCAGAAGGAAAGTTAAATGAATAAGATTCTCCTTGATAAATAGATTTAAGTGTAATAAAATGACTAGTAATTAGATGAAGTTTTTAATATGATTCAGCCTATAAAGGGAATGGAAGTCTTAAAAGAGATTGCACTCCAAATTATTTAATTATCTAAATTGAATTTTGTCTTTTGTGGATTATTTGATATAATAGGTTTTAAGTTTAAGAATATGACGGTGGTAATTAGGATGTATATAGTAAGATGACCTTTGTTTTTTATAATGGAAGGTAGTCATAAATTTGATTGTACCTAATATATTTTAATTATACCGAGAGTGTGATTTTAATTGTAATTGAATGTTATGTTATGTGATATATGATGACGTTCAATCAATTGGGCAGGAGGCCAATTAGACTGGAAAAGTTGTATATGTATGTGACTTGTTCGAGAGTTACAATTTGTACCCCTACTAACTTAATTTTCTTATGTAATTGGTATTAATTTATTAGACTTGTTATTAATTTTATGCTATCACTCCCAGTTGTCTTATCTTAGTATCTAGTTGCTAATAGTATTAGCAACATTCATAATAATTCATAAATGTATGTATGTATTTAAGTCTTCTTTAGATTTATGCTCACAGATTTATTTCTGTCATATTTGTATTTTGTTTTAATTATTTTTTGTATCTTTATATACTCGTGCTAACTTTGTAATTGGCCACTGTGCCGTTAAGTTATTGCACGTAAATAAACATGAATCGAATTGAATTGAATTATGAAACATATTTATTTGCTTCAATTTTATTTTTCATTCATCTCTAACATTTGACTAGTACTAAAATCTTACTTACAGTTATGTATACTGATAACATTAAGTAAGCAGATGTGTACACTTGGAAGTTTTCAAAATATAATAATTTTCTCTTAGAAAAATCGTTTGGAAAATATAACTTGCTTCAAAATGTGGAGGTTCTTTTTTGTATGTGTGTATAATTATAAGCAGTATTTTCATGACAGCACAGTGATACATTCCATTTCATTTCTGTCCATTTTCAGCAAAGCAAAGTTCTGCGTTCAGTTAGAGTTCCACAAGACCGATGATGATAGCAGAGTATATATAGGTAAGAATGGTTCCTTTTGATTCTTTTCAGTGTTCACACACTGATTACTAATGTCAGTGCAATGCGGTGATTCTTTAATGTAGAATTATCTCATTCACTTCTTTTACATCCTCTAGGGGAACCTTTATACAGACTTTGTACAAAGACATTAAGTGATACAATTATGAATGTAGTTATAGGAGCATTAGCATCTATCTGGTAGAACATATTGACTATTAATTTATTGGTTGGAAGTTCAGTTTAGGAATAACAAGATTGTCTGCAATGTCTGTACTTCCAGCAACTGCCAGTTTTTCAGTATTCACTCTCACATTGCCTTAGAACTCCTGCTCATTACAATTGAAATGCACAAGTTAATGATGAATGTAATCCTAAGTTAAGCTTCTTTTTTTATTACCACTGTCTTTCTTATAACATCATTACTGTACTCTGCTACACATATAAGGAAATGAAAGGAAGGATCATAATTATCCGAGCCACTTTTGTTCTCTCTCTTCAAACTCTCCTGCATATACAGAAGGGACAACCTCTTTAGAAGAGGTAACATTTTTGGGTATCATGGAAAATTTGACATGTGACAAGAATGAGCCTCATTTTCAGCTTAGAAGACAAATGATTTATTGTTGAGCTCCTCCCTTAGATGATAAGTTTTTCATACTGGGACACCAGAAGTGTTTGTATTTGACAGATTAACATGCTTCATGAAGAATAAATAATTCTGAAATAGTGCATGATGCCATTAGAGATAAATAAATTGTCACATCAGTTTTTAGTGTTTGCTGATGGTGACTGATCATGGAGGTACGTAGTACTAAGAACTGCATACAGAATTAAGATGATGGAAGAGGGTTCATTGACACATCATGTTATAATAAGGCACTGTAATTGATTAGTTCATGTGTAGGCCACCACATAATGTATGAATAAGGAATGAACCTTATATAATTAATCACTTGAGCATGTGCCAGGATTGTGTATGAAATTTCTGCATTTTGTTCCCGCTTCTGTGATCAGAGATTGAAGGACAAAATTAGAATGTTTTATTGTAATTGTATAAATGTTCACATCCCATAACTGAATAATTTCTTCCCTGCCATGGTGCTCAGTATCTTATCCAAATGCATCACCACATCATTGTGTTCAGTAATGTTTTCTATAAATATTAAAATATAATGTTTTCCAACAGCTTCAAATGTCTAATATAATATCAAAGTTTAAATTATATTACTAAAGGTTAAATCACATAGAGGTTTTTATTTTTTCTCAGAAAAATTAGCCATGTAGTATATATGAGGGTAAGTTACAAATGGATATAGAACTTAAACAAATAAGAGTACTTATTTGAAAAATGATTTTATTTCTCAACGTAAGCTCCCTGTACATGGAGGCACTTGTTCCATCATTTCACAAGCCCCTGAAATCCAGCAGCATAACATTTTTTGGGCTGCTGTCGGAACCGGGCGGTGACTTCCCTTTCTACAGCATCATCATCAGGAAAATGTTCAGCTGAATGATGATGTTTAAGAAGGCCAAAAAAATGGAAGTCGCTTGGAGCAAGGTCGGGGCTATATGGAGGATGCTCGAGGACCTCCCACTTGAAATTTTGCAGCGTCTCATTTGTCCTGATGGCAGTATGGGGACGCACATTGCAACACGCCTTTGGTGAGGAGTCCTGGTTGCTTCCGTTGAATGGCCTTACAAAGTTCCTGAGGATGTTACAGTAGGAGTCGGCATTTATAATTTGTCCTTGAGGCTGGAATGCGGTGAGCAGTATGCCTTCATAATCCCAGTCACCGCCTGGTTCCAACAGCAGCCCAAAGAATTTTATGCTGCTGGTTTTCAGAGGCTTGTGAAACAATGGTACAAGAGCCTCAGTGTACAGGGAGATTTTGTTGAGAATTAAAAGCATTTTTCAAATCAGTACTCTTATTTGTTTAAGTTCTATATCCATTTGTGCTTACTTATTGACTTACCTGCATATAATAAGTGGCATGAAACAGGAAGTAATATGCATTTGGTGATTGCAGAAATAGTAATACAAGATTAAGGGGAAATCTTAAACATTGTGAGAAGAGTGAACAATTAACATTTAATTAATATCTTCATATTATACTTCATGAAGACTCTCAGATGGAATTAATATTGACCAAATATATGCAACATATTACTGTATAACATTTATGTAATGCTTGAATTATGTGATAAATGAGGCAATACCCAAACTAAGTAATGGGTCATCTTAATGGTGTATTAAAAAGAGGTTTCAGCCTTACACATACTTAGTAGCAATATAACAACTGGGAGTTCTTGCTTGCTTATCCACTGCAACTGCCTAAGTTTCTGTTACTGCGAGAATCATCAGTCACTGTTAATACATATACAGTGGAACCTCGCTTAACAAGCACCTCTCATAACGAGTAATTCACATAACGAGCAAAACAAATTGTAAAAAAATAACGAGTGACGAGAGGGGAAGTCCCGGATTGTGTGCTTGCTACATCAGTCTGTGTTTAGCACTCGTTCCACTAGCATATTAGTGTCGCTTGTGATCACACATTTTTCCAAACTTGTGTTCAGACATATTATTTGTGATTTTTTTTGTGCAAAGTTTAATAACCCTTGCAAAAATGTCCCCGAAGAAGAAGCCGCAAAAAGACAGCCATAAGAGAATAAAAATAACCATAGAAATGAAACGTAAAATCACTGAAAAGCGAGAACGAGGTGTGAGCGTGGCTGATATAGCACGCGCATACAGTCGGTCTACATCAACGATTTGCACGATTTGGAGTTGCATTGTGCTTCACAGCAAGAAGTTGTGGAGGAGGAGGAGGAGGAGGAGGAGGAGGTAACAGCAAAGCAACAATCTTCTGGCGCAATAAGAGAAATGCTGAAAGCATGGGAAACTGTTGCATCGTACACTGAGAAGCATCACCCTAATAAAGCAGTGGCTATGCACGCTGTGTTGCATTTTCACCAAATTTTGAAGTGTCGGCAAAAACAAATGTCTCTAGACAGCTTTTTAGTAAAAAAGAATTAGACATGTATCATAAATAATAAACTAATTATTTCGATTTTTTTTCTGCGAATCGAATTTGCATTCCAGGTTGGTTCATTCACATAGAAGAAATGATGAAGATTATTCACGCTTCTTAACAATGTATATATAATTTTCTTTGAATAAACGTTATACATATTTTTTTAGTATTTTTTCGGCATGGAACGCATTATCATATTTTACATTAATTTATATGGGAAAAAATTGTTTCGCATTACAAGTAAGAATCTGGAACGAATTATGCTCGTTAAGCGAGGTTCCACTGTATTTTGTTTCATGGGTTGGAGGGTTGTATGAAATGTTACAAATGATAAATAATTTGGAGGAGGGAATTTCCTTATAATAATGTGGTATTCCAATAACTGCACATGAAAAAGTAACTTCTATATTAACATTAAAAATGAAAGAGAAATATTTTGATTCATTCCAAGTACATATTGAGAGATATATTGGGCATCAGGCTTCACACTACTAATAGAGAAATTGCTGCTGCAATAAACAGGATTTGGATGGGAATACTTGAATATACTTTAATGTATTCAACCAAAGTGACAGCATGACTCAATATGTAGAGTTGTGTGTATAAATTATTATAATATCACTACTCAAATTGACTATGATCACATAAATTTAACAAATGTGATTGAGATTAAATTTCTGGGATTAATTATTGATGATACTCTTTCATGAAAACAGCATATTGATCATGTTATTAATAAAATATCCAGTGCATGTTATACATTGAGAAATATAAAATATATTGTACCTTTAGATATGTTAAAGCTAATTTATTTTGCTCATATACATTCTATCATAAGTTATGGTATAATTCTACTGGGGTGGCTTCTTTTATGTTAACAAAATTTTTATATTGCAAAAGAAAGTTATTAGAATTATAACGAATTCTAGACCAAGAGAGTCTTGTAGGGACTTTTTTAAGAATTTGGAAATAATGAAGTTCTACTCTCAGTACATATATTCATTACTTTTATACACAATTAATAATAAACATTTATTTAATTTTAACAATGAGATTCACAAATACAAAACTAGAGCCCTCGATAATCTATATTTACCTGCAGTTAACCTAAGAAAATACAATAAAGGTGTGTACGTATCAGGTAAAAAAGTTTTTAATCATCTTCCTCAAACAATAAAAATATTGGCTACTGATGAGAGAAGTTTTAAATCTGCAGTGATTTGCTGGCCAGCAATTTGCACCAAACACCAAGGCCTGTTGTCGAAGAAAGTGTTGTTGTTGCATGACAATGCACGCCCACACATGGCCAGCCAGACCGTTGAACCCATTAACCATTTGGGTTTCGAGGTGCTGGAACACCCTGCCTACAGCCCAGATCTCGCCCCGTCGGACTGTCATCTCTTTGGATGGCTCAAAGATGCTTTACGAGGTCGTCGATTTTCTACGGACAGAGAGGTGCATCTTACAATGTATTTTGTTCAATTTGGGGGGAATACAGATTGCAACAGTTGCAACAGTTGCAATCTGTATTCCAAACAGAGCAGAAAAAAAATACCTACATTGCAAAATGAGGCACCGGCCAAACAATTAATGTCAAATAATACTACAGCTATACCATGGACCTCCAAGCAGTTTATTACATGTATACAAGTCTGAATATATCCTTATGTCTGCTGGAATATAACAAGATTGCAACAACTGATTTCATGGTATGCAATATCACATGAAGAGTTTTTAACCATATTTTACTCCATAACTCTTATTTTTAATAAGTTTATAATTCATTGTATTTTTATACCATGTATTTTATAATGTTACAGTTATCAAGTATCCAGCTTTACCATCACAATGAAATTGCAGTTCAATAGTGTGTGAATATAGTAATCATGTGTTTTGCCTGATGATGGCTTCAAAAGCCAAAACATGAGGTAAGGTAATTTTAACCTTGACTGTTATGTTGTTGTGTTATGATTGACTCCAATAAAGAATTGTATGTAATAACACAACAGGATGCACGAAACAAAAACTATTACTGCTTAGTTGACAAAGAGTATATGGTTTGAGAAAGCATGTAGCTTGAAGGATTCAGCTACTGGCAGAAGAGTACGTAAGGATTTCCCTGTTCAGGACCCTCCTGTATAAAGAATACAAACCTCCAATTAATATGAAAATGGTAAAAATAGAAACTTTTAAATTCCTGTTGAAATCTATAATTCATATCCTTGGCTTTTGCAAAATGTTCACTGTACAATAGTGTATTTGCAGACCCTGACACAGTAATTGTACAGCATGTTTGGGGTTATTTATTGAAGCAGTGCAATTGATGAAAATAAATTATAGTTCCTAGTTTATAATAATCTTGACAAGAAATAAAAAGTGCAGAAGGGTGGTAAGTTGATTCATTATGCATGACAAAAGGCCAATTGATGAAAAAAAAAAGGAACAGGAAATGAGAGAATATCCCTGCAGCAAATTCTTTCATTCATTCATTTCCTTTATTTTCCATATATCCATACAGGTAACAAACCTAGGATGTGGGAATAGTCCCTTTGAGAATAGATTTGTCCAGATACATATACTAAATTACATGAATTACATAATTAAAATCACTCACATTAATCAGTTAACATAAATAATAATATAAACTAAAAATCTTAATAAGATTTTAATTATTAAACATAATTTAAAAAGAACGGGGTCACATGGTAGCATAGTTGGTTGAGGCACTAAGCTACAAGCTGGAAGGTCGCAGGATCAAATTCCGATGAGGTCATTGGATTTTTTTCAGTTTACCTAATCCTTCCAGCCACACTATGGACCTGGGGTCGACTGAGCCTCTAACAGAAATGAGTACCAGGAATATTCTTGGGGGTAAAGGGCGGCCGGCGCATAAGGCTAACAACCTTACCACCACCTACTATAAGCCGACTGTCTAGAAAATGTGGGAACCTCAACATCTCACAACCCTATGGGCCTCCACGGCCTGTTACAGGGATACTTTTCCTTTTACTTTTTGCTTTAATTTATAAAGAACATTACTGTAAAACTTAAATTTATCCCATTTTATTTAAATTACCTAAATTAACTGAATTAGATGCATTACAAATTTACACACTTATGACCAATTATATTGATAATATTCATGGAATAAAAAGAATGATGATATAAAATCCTCTCCAGTGCAGATTTAAAACTTCTCCCATCAGTAGCCAACATTTTTATTGTTTGAGGAAGATGATTAAAACTTTTAATACCCAATATGTATGCACCTTTATTGTATTTTGTTAGGTTAACTGCAGGTAAATATAAATTATTGAGGGCTCTAGTTTTGTATTTGTGAATCTCATTGTTAGAATTAAATAAATGTTTATTATTTTTTGTGTATAAAAGTAATGAATATATATACTGAGAGCAGAATGTCATTATTTCCAAACTCTTAAAAATGTCTCTACAAGACTCTCTTGATCTAGAATTCGTTACAATTCTAATAATTTTTTTTTGCAATGTAAAAACTTTGTTAACACAAGAGGAGCGGCCCCCAAAAAATTATACCATAACTTATGATAGAATGTATATGAGCAAAATAAATTAGCTTTAACGTATCTAAAGGTACAATATATTTTATATTTCTCAATGCATAACATGCAATGGATATTTTATTAATAACATGATCAATATGCTATTTCCATAAAAGAGTATCATCAATAATTAATCCCAGAAATTTAATTTCAGTCACATTTGTTAAATTTATCTGATAATAGTTAATTTGAGTAGTGATATTATAATAATTCATACATACAACTCTACATATTGAGTCTTATTAAAATTCAAGGTGAACAAATTAGCATTAAACCATGTATTTATATCTTTGAGAGTTTGATCAAGATTTATTTCAAAGTTTAACTTATTAGTGTCAGTTAACTATAATACTGGCATGATAGAGAAATGATGTGACCTTGTGTTGCATACCTTCCTATCAGAAGTGTCAAAACCTATAATTTGAACTATCTTTTCATCAGGGTTGGTGTTATAAATAAAATGTATCAGACTAAATCTGAGTAACAATATGTGACTATATTCTATGGGGCATGGTGTGGGACATTGCCCCCTAACCAAGGGAAGTAGCCTGATTACATACAAGGCATCGCCATGTTGATATGTGATAAAAGATATGTCTATGAAATAGTAATTTTATAAGGAACTGTTGCCATGATTTTTATTAAAAAATATTTAATATTTCTTGTTGAAAATGCTGATACTCTGCAAAGCTGCTTTTGCTTAGTTGCAAATTAAACATTATAACTTACAGAGCAGTCATTAACAATGAAATTGTCATGGCTGTTAAAATAGATAGGGACTGCATGCTGGTAACATTCCTCATATTATTATAGAGTTGATATAGTAACATGTAATGGTGAATGTATGGTATAAAGATTATTTACTGTCTTCTGGGATGTGACACCATGCTGTTTGGTAGATAGATACATATCTACCAAACTACAAAGTGTCATATCCTTGGAGACAGAAATCTTCATAGTCACTGCTGTGATGACATCAATTTCACATATGGTTTTAAGATTTTCACTGTCTTTATTTTTATCAGATTTAGAACACATTGAACTCTCAAGCCCACAGTGACTCATAAAGCGTATCACCTGAATATAATAAGCACATGGTCATAGTGGGTGACCTGCATCACACATGTCACTGTTTGAGCCAGTGAAGAAGTCTAGAGATTGTTGCACCCAGATCCAACAACATAATCCTAGTTTAATGAATATGAGCAGTGCACATAAAGGCACATTTTTACAAATTTGTTCTTACATAAGAATAAGTGCATGCATGCACTGATAACAGTGTGTATATTGCTGCTGTAAAATCAAAATGATTATATACTAACTGATCATAAACATTTACCATATCACAGAATTTCTTCGATTCTAGAAACTGAAAAATATTATTCTTATTTTAAACACTCAAAATCCAAATCAATGAACTCTTCTTGTTATTGAACAAAGATTATAATATAAAACCACAAATAAAAATTTCTCAGCACATTGCTAAACAGGAGCACGGAACATTTTCAGTAGAAAAATAACTCCTTGAGACTATAAGTGACATACATATCTCTTGGCCTTGGGATTTTTTGAATACCCAAAAGGGTAAAATTATTTTAGAAGGTGGAGTCAGTCTCCTGGGGTAATTGTTTGGTCCTTCACTGTGCCCAGAGTCAGGCATATTATTAGTATACAGTGAATTAATAGGTTAGGACTGCAAAATAAACATGAAAGAATTCTGACTTAGTGTTCCACTTCTTTCTGGTCTAGAAACCCAAAATTAACGGCCGTGCGGATGCGTTGCGCTGATCCTACGACACCCTCTATCCGCTGAAGTTAGCACTAACTTCGCTGACGAGCGGCAGTCGCTCGGTCAGTATAGTTCACTTGCAGACTAAAGCCACAAATTCTTTTTGTTCCACTTCTTGCTGTCTGTGTGCAAAGTCAGATCTATACAGTGCAGCAGGATGGTGCAACATAATATTACGGAAGAATTCTTCTTTATGGATCCAAAACCTTCCTGCTGGCACTCTAGATATTTATCCACCTCTGTATTAAAATGTGTAATGCCTTAAATAACTTTGGCAACAAAGAAAAGGGTTGACAATAAATGAGATCTAATTAGAAGGTAACACATTGACAGTTCCCTAAACAAAATCTCTCCAAGAGAAAAAACTAAGAAATTCTTTATAGCCTTAAACATGTGTCAGTGCATAATTTTGAAGACATGCGGCTCTCTGGTACCATATAATGCTATGCCATAGAACTTGTAATTAAGAAAGTAAAACAGATATTTAACATTTGTACTTCACTCATAATACATAATCTCTGCATCAGATCCTAGGTGAGACCACATTGCTTGCCTTAGTCCCTGCAGACAGCCATCTGGATGCTACCTGAAGCCACTCCTATCTCCAAACTTAACTGTTATTATTGTCCTTACATTCATCAGTTTACTCCAGATAATTGACAAGTGGCAAAATGAAGAACATCCTTTGCTGTAACTTTTATAGGAAAGAAAGGAATGTTACTTACAGGATGTGAGATACTAAGTGTCACTCAAAAATGTCTGGAATGTGTGTGCAAAGTCATGGTGGGGGGGATAAAAGATCTGGTGTGAGGGCACAAATGATAATATAACTGATTTTCAGATCTTAATATTTTGAAGTAGTTCTTCTTGAAAAGCATGATCTTCTGGATTTTAACACCATGTATTCTGGAAAAATGTCCAAGTTTCAGGGGAACATAATGGCTCCAACTTCAAGGTTGAAGAGTAAGCCAATCAAGAAACCAACATGAAGCAGGCAGCAAGTTGTGGCAGGTCACCTGTTTCTTGGTGGTTTTAAAGTAACTATTTTGAAAGAATCTAAGGCCATGTCCTGGTAACTACAATGCGCTCAACCATTGAGGAAACCTGGCAATGTGGCTGAGCAGGCACAACATTCCTCACAGATTGCTGCTGTAACTGCCGATAGCAGAATGAGTCATTAGCACCAATAAACGCACGCCATCAGGTGGTTTAATCTTGTCACTGCAGTAAGTCACATTAGTCAGTCTTTGTTAGAGGGGTTGATAGGTGGTTGATATTTATACTGAAATGAAGTTCACTATTGAACAGTGTGTTTATTGTCAGAACTTTTATAAGGTACGCTTTTATTAGTCTGTTCTGTCTCAGAAACACCCTTCTTCAATCATATTCTTGGTCATCCAACACTTCCTTGTCCATCTGCTTGGTAATTCTTAGCTTTTTGGGTTTATCTTGGAGAGTCCATTCTTAAGATGTGGTTATGCCCCTTGTTTTTGTAGTCTTGGATTCTTCTAAAGCATTATTTGTAATGCACTGCACACTGTCATGTTGCATACATGGCCTGCAAGTGCACATCCCGAAACACCTTAAAAAGTGCCCACACATGAGCATAGGAGCTATTGTTACCTTATAAGATTTATGCATAGAAACAGTAAAACAAATTCTGAATGTTTTCTCCTGATTCTGAACCCTCTATCACCTTCTGATGTTGCTATGACTAATGCTTCATGTGGGGTTGGACAAGAGGTCATCTTATCCTGCTTCTTTTCAGGTGGACTTAAAATAGTTCTGGTGTTTTTATAGATACCTAGAACAATTTCAATGAATCCTACCACTCTTCTCCCCCTTCCTGCTCCCACTGGTTGCTAACCGACCACTGTTATTAACATAGTGGCAAGCCTTTTACCCTTGTGTATCTAGCATATCTGCGGGGACAACTGAATATACTGTGGCATGTAAATCTGTTGCTAGACGACCGCAAAATAAGCAACCATAAAACAGCAACAGCCATTACACACAAGCATGTTTCCATGGCAAGAAAATACAGCAATAATAGAAGTGATGTTTTCTGCGCTGTAGACAACTGCTGCAGTTTAGTCGTTCTGGGCTACTGCTGTTAAAAGCCGGTAGCTGAGGCTGACGACAGTTCAGTAATGTAAAGGAAGAGAAACGTCCACTGTTGGAAGCTGCTACCAAGCAACGGCAGTGAAGATGTGACTGTGGATACTAGTGTGTGTGTAATAGTGACCTGTAAGGTGTAGTAACGCACTATATAAAAGAGTCCAATCCAGTCATCAATCCAAAACCCATCTATAGTCACACTGCATACATGCAAAAATATTAATTTCCAATTTTCTTTGAACGTTTGAATTTGCACATCTGTTCAAAGAATGTATGTTGAAAAGGCAGATTTTTTTCCCCCCAAGCAGTATCAGGAATAATGCAAAGAGTAGCAAAACCTGTAATATTAATATTTTCAAAAATCTGGTCTGCAAGGTGTCAGTGCTTGAAATCTGTGAAGGTGGAAGGGATAGAAATAATAAAGGTTGATGAAAATTCAGAGTGCCTATTTTAGGATAATATATGCTAATCATAAAAAAGTATACATTCTTTCATGTCCCCTTTCCTACAGTTTGAAAGTCAAAGAGTTTCACCAACCATTCCACTATATTTTTAGTTCAAAAATTTTGAAAAAGTATTCTGCTTTCTCTCTGCACCTGCTTGAAGTACTAATTGTAACCATTAGGACCCGTCCATGTGAGTGTGTGTCTGCTTTCATACAAATGCTGCATGACAAACTTCCCAGAAGCAGCATGCCTTCAGCCATACATGATTGATATAATGACTGAGTAATTACAACATATATTATTCAATTCTCATATAATTAAGGGTTTTAAGTGTTCCCTTATCCTTGTACATTTGTAATGTCATTCTTAACAAAGCAGCTCGCATACATAGACTAAAATCTATGCATGAGTACTGTACAGATTTAAGCTACTCAGAAATTTTTAAAAATCACAATGGGAGAGGGGCTTGAATACTTACATGTTGGATCACTAGTTTCAGCTGTACCACGTTATACTGAAAGTTTTCTCATTACCAGAAAATTCTTTTGAAAATTGGAAATAGTTGATTTATAGCACTGATGATGTATTTTGTCAGAGGGATCAATTGTGTACTTCCATAGTGATTTACAGAAGAATATCTTCGTTGACCTCTGTGTAACTATTGCACCAGTAGTTCTACAAATATATATATATATATATATACGTCGACAAGTCAAATGAAAACCTTAAATATTTCTTTGAGTATTATTTATTGTGCACAAGTGGTACAAAGCTGTATCACTTTTCAACATAATCTCCCCCACACTCAATGCAAGTCCCCCAGCACTTACAAAGTGCATGAATTCCTTTAGAAAAAATTCTTTTGGTAGTCTGTGCAACCACTCATGCACTGCGTGGCGTACCTCTTCATCAGAACGGAACGTCTTTCCTCCTATTGCTTCTTTGAGTGGTCCAAACATATGGAAGTCACTTGGGGCAAGGTCTGGTGAGTATGCCGGATGAGGAAGACACTCAAAATGCAGGTCATTGATTGTCGCAACTGTTGTATGGGCAATATCGGGCCTTGCATTGTCATGTTGCAAAAGGATACCTGTGGACAGCAATCCACATCACTTTGATTTGATTGCAGGCCGAAGATGATTTTTTAGGAGATCTGAGTATGATGTACTGGTGACAGTGGTCCCTCTAGGCGTGTAGTGCTCCAAGAGGATGCCTTTTTCATCCCAAAAGAGTCAGCATAACCTTCCCTGCTGATAGTTGTGTTCGAAACTTCTTCGGTTTTGGAGATGAGGAATGGCGCCATTCCTTGCTCGCTCTCTTCGTTTCCGGTTGGTGGAAGTGAACCCAGGTTTCGTCCCCAGTAACAATTCTTGCAAGGAAGTCATCACCTTATCGTTCAAAGTGCCACAGAAGTTCTTCACAAGCATCAGTACGTCGGTCTTTCAATTCAGGAGTCAGCTGCTGTGGCACCCATCTTGCAGACACTTTGTGAAACTGGAGCACATCTTGCACAATGTGGTGTGCTGAACCATGACTAATGTGTAAACTTGCTACAATTTCATTCAGTGTCACTTGGCGGTTTTCCCTCACTATGGCTTCAACTGCTGCAGTGTTCTCTGGAGTCACAACTCGATGTGCCTGACCCGGACGAGGAGCATCTTCCACTGAAGTCACACCATTTGCAAATTTCTTACTCCATTCGTACACTTGCTGCTGTGACAGGCATGCATCACCATACTGAAACTTCATTCTTTGATAAATTTAAATAGGTTTCACACCTTCACTACACAAAAACCGAATAAGAGAACGCTGTTCTTCCCTGGTGCAAGTCTCAAGTGGGGCAGCCATCTTATACTGGTGCTGTGACGGTGTTCATGCATCTGCACTATGCTGCAACCTACAGGCCATTCTGCACGCTGTTTGTAGCACGCTTACCAACTTACAGGATAATGGCACGAAATTTCGATTTTTTATTACAAATTTAAGGTTTTCATTTGACTTGCCCTTGTATATTTGGGGGGGGGGTGATTTCAGTAAGGGCTATATTTAAGTTCACATGCCTTTAGAAAATTTCCTAATGATGGACTGTATTTTATGCCCCAGCAGGCACTTATTTTAGTCAGAATAAACTATTTTTGCTATGACAGAGTTATGTCGCATCATAGGTATTATATATATATAACCATTAACAAAAGTTAAGTTACTTGCAGTGGGCCACATGCTCTGCTTTAATGTGATGTGACCTTCAAGGATGTTAATACTTGTAATGGTTTGCTTTTTATTGCCTTATGTATCACATGACTGTACTCTTTATTATGGACATTATTCTTAAATGATGTTATATCTTGTGATCCAAACATTAAAAAACTATATTTACTCAAGAGCAATAACCCTCCCCATAACATTAACCTTTATCATAAATCTATTCTATCAGCACGTTTCTGTGCAATAGAAATTGTTTTCTGAGTATGCATGAAATTTATTGTAACAAGACATTACTTTACATCCAGAATAGTTCATCAGCCATATTTAGAGCTTACTGTGAATTTATGTAACCTTGCACAAGCTCATGGATGTGAACATGAACTTAACAAAAACATTATATTTGATCATTTTATTTGGGCAAGATGACATATTGACTAGTGGCACAACAAGCTGGTGCACTGTGAATAATGAGAAATACAGTTATGAAAGATAATTAGATGCAGACAGTGGTTACTGAAATCCTTGTTTGAAATATCTTTTTAAATCTATATAGTTGCTGCTGTGTGTTACTCATGCTCTTCTTTATCTCCCTTTATCAAATGTCAATTGCAGAAATGCCAGAATTCTTGTCTTATTGTAAGTTTCCATACAATGAAATATTTCATGGTATTCTTCCTTCAGTGTCCTTTGCATCCCGATACTCCCATTATGTCCTTTTCCCAGTTATTTTCTTATTTCTCACTCCATCATATAATCTGTATTGTTACACATTTTATGAACATGCCCAATAATTTTTGTCTGTTTATTTTACAACCTATAAATTTGCATTTGTAATACTTTATTGCATATTAAATGTTTATTTAACCATGTGGTATAATTCTGAAGTAGTTACTACATGTTAGCCATGTTTGCTATTTTTATTTTATTCTATACTCTTTATGATCTAGATGTATGTAGTTTTCTGGCTTCTGCCTATCCATCTTATGGTCTTATCCAAAGCAAAATCCTTTCATTGTTATGCGATCTTCTTAATCCTGTTTCAACCCCACAGTGTTACATCTTCGCTTTACATTAAAGTTTTAAAACCCTGTAATGGTTCTGTATTAGGGCATAACTGATATGATTCATTGGGGCATTACACAGTAATAGTGATAAGATTATTTCTTGCCTTATCATTCAGTACAAACTGTCATCAAAAGTATGTTATTCCTTGGCTTACTAGTAAATCAGAATTGATTCCTTTGTTTATTATTCAGTGCAAACCATCATTAAAAGTACTGACTTTTTGGGCTTATTATTCAGTAATGTGAAATGGGTAGTGAAAAATTAAATTAAAGTATTGGAAGGCATCACTGTCAATGGTACATATTTATCGGTTTTGCTGAGAAAATTCATTAATTTGTAAATTAATCTTCTCAGTGTATGCTTTACAGCGTTTTATTCTGTGACCTATGCAACAGCCAATATTTTCTTCGACACCATTCTTCACACTGTTCCTGACAGATACTATGTTTATCTTTTAGTCCTTGAAGAAAAACTTATGTATTATTTAATTTTCTTATTGCCATCATAGATGTGATATACATTATAGACTGAGAGAAGTAACTTTACTGCTTGTGCCCCAACTAATATAAGGGGCCAGAGAACTGACACATCAGAAAATCTGTTCATATTGCATGAAACACATATTTTAAAACACATATCCTCACAACACACCAAATGTGTAATAGCTGATACTTAGGTATAAATTCTTTCAATATGGCTGACATATTACAGTTTATCAGAAAGTAAAACAATTTCTGTTGCATACTTAGTATTAATGCTCTCAGATATTTGCAAAATTGTGCAATGCTGCATTGATAACACATGACAAAATTAAGGTGTACATTTTGTTCCCTCAATCTCAGCACTTCATTGTATAATGTGTTTGCATCTCAACTAAACTGTATTTCTTTTATAATTGCTTCCTTAATATCACTGAAATTAATAAATATCTACTATGTTACTCTGAAATGGTACAGCTTTCCAAACTGACACCATTATGTGATTCACTACTTTTGTATCAATATAGGTCATTCTTTCTGTACTCAGTACTGAGTAACATTACATTACATTGCATTCCATGGATCCGAAGTTAGTCAAAATGACTGTAGGATGTGGAATATGTCATATAAATACAAAACATGTACAGACCCAATGGAGTTCTCACACAAGAGAAACCAAGAATACACAGTGACTACTCACAAGGCTATTTAAAGATACATAAGTTATTTTCTAGACAATAGGTATTCATCAACAGAGTAGAATGAATGTGTATTTAAGTATTGTTTCAGTGCGATTTTAAATCGTGCCTTTTCATTCATAAGACCTTTGAGATCAGATGGCAGGTTATTAAAAATGTTGATCCCAGCATAATATGCACTTTTCTGAAAGCATGACAGGTTAGCAATTGGTTTATGTCTTGTGTACATCCGCTTCCATCTGAAAATGTTCTTTGTTGTTTGTAATGAAGTTTATTAATGAATATATATATATATTCACAAGGCAAAGTTAAGATCTGTAGTCTCTTAAATAGATCTCTACAGGAATTACGGGATTTGACACCCATCATGATTCTAACAATTTTCTTTTGCAATGTAAATACCTTTTTACTGTCAGATGAATTACCCCAGAAAATTATTCCATACTTTATTAAAGAGTGAAAATAAGCAAAATAGACTGATTTGAGAGTGTCAGTGTTACTAATATGTAACATGAATCTAACTACATAATATGCTCTACTTAACTTTGGAATCAAGTGATCGATATTTTTTTCCCAGTTTAAATGATTATAAATTTGCAAGCCAAGGAATTATGTGTTTACTCCCTCTTCTATATATTTATCATTATATCCTATGTTTAATGGATATTGTGGTGAGTTTTTTTGTTATAAATTTGTATTACATTTGTTTTTCCTAGGTTCAGGGACAGCTTGTTTGCAGAAAACCATTAGTGAAAAAACCTTGCTTTATAACATGCAGAAATCATCTAAATTTTTACCAGAAATTATAACACTAGTGTCATCTGCAAATATTATAGGTATTGATGAGGTCCTTAGTGTAGGAGGGAGGTCATTTATATAAATTATGAAAAGCAAAGGCCCCAAAATTGACCCCTGTGGAACTCCATGTTTTATTATTCCACAGTTTTGAGTAGGTACTTTGGACTGAATTTTATGAAAAGCCTTTGCCAAGTCACAGAATATTCCACCAACATGCATTTTTTGATTAACAGATTTCAACACAGTGTTAACTTAAAGGCTGCATTTTCTATGGAAATTCCTTTCCTAAAGCCAAACTGTTCTGGGACTAGTATATTGTTACTCTGAAAATAATGCCTTAACCTACTGTGCATAACTTTATCAAATACTTTACAGAGAGTAGTTAGCAGTGAAATTGGCCTGTAGTTTGACATACTAGCCTTATCCCCTTTTTTATATACTGGTCTTACTACTGAAAGACAATCAGGGAAGATTCCTGTGGATAGTGAGCGATTACAGATGTTTGTTAATGGGCTACTGATTAGAGATGCACAGACTTTTAAAATTTTACTTGTTATCCCATCATAACCTGAAGAGTTTTCTGTTTTGAGGGACTGTATTATACCTTCCCCCCCCCCAGTTTCAGAGGTTGGAATGGTTTTAATACCAGGGAATTTTCTAGGAAATGCCTCTCTGAAAAATGAAATGACATCTTCCTCTTCCTGATGCAAGTTTAGATTTTCTGTAGTTGTTAGAAAAAAAGTACTGAAGGCATCTGCAATTTCTCCTGGGTCCTCAACTTTTACATCATATATAAGGAGAGATAGTATCTGTTCAGTCAGATGTGATTTTCCTGTTTCATGATTTATTATATTCCAGGTTGTTTCTATCTGATTATTCAATGTTGCTATAAGCCTACAGTAATACTGCCTTTTAGCCTCTTTTATAACTCTACTCAAGATTTTGCAGTACCTTATGTAGTATGCTTTCATGTAGGGATTATTACTGCTCCTGCTGTCTACATACAGATGCCTTTTATGTTTACAAGATATTTTTATTCCTTGTGTAATCCAGTGGTTTTTTATTCTGCATAGGAAAACTGGCTTCGAAGATATTTAAAAAAAATATATAAAAAAAGAGTTAAACTTATAATTTTCTATCCTTATTTTTGAAAACAGGTTCCCACATTTCATTTTCTAATAGATGTTGAAATTGAACAATGGTATCACTATTTATTTTTCTGGTTCTCTGTTTCAAGGTGTTGCATTTACTTCCACAATATTATGTACTGTAAGAAATTGAGCATCATGGTCAAAGAGGCCACCGACTATAGGAGATGTACAAGAAGAGCTTAACCTTGCATTNCCCCCCCCCCCAGTTTCAGAGGTTGGAATGGTTTTAATACCAGGGAATTTTCTAGGAAATGCCTCTCTGAAAAATGAAATGACATCTTCCTCTTCCTGATGCAAGTTTAGATTTTCTGTAGTTGTTAGAAAAAAAGTACTGAAGGCATCTGCAATTTCTCCTGGGTCCTCAACTTTTACATCATATATAAGGAGAGATAGTATCTGTTCAGTCAGATGTGATTTTCCTGTTTCATGATTTATTATATTCCAGGTTGTTTCTATCTGATTATTCAATGTTGCTATAAGCCTACAGTAATACTGCCTTTTAGCCTCTTTTATAACTCTACTCAAGATTTTGCAGTACCTTATGTAGTATGCTTTCATGTAGGGATTATTACTGCTCCTGCTGTCTACATACAGATGCCTTTTATGTTTACAAGATATTTTTATTCCTTGTGTAATCCAGTGGTTTTTTATTCTGCATAGGAAAACTGGCTTCGAAGATATTTAAAAAAAATATATAAAAAAAGAGTTAAACTTATAATTTTCTATCCTTATTTTTGAAAACAGGTTCCCACATTTCATTTTCTAATAGATGTTGAAATTGAACAATGGTATCACTATTTATTTTTCTGGTTCTCTGTTTCAAGGTGTTGCATTTACTTCCACAATATTATGTACTGTAAGAAATTGAGCATCATGGTCAAAGAGGCCACCGACTATAGGAGATGTACAAGAAGAGCTTAACCTTGCATTATCTATAAAGATATTATCAATGGCTATGCTTGAGGAATTTTGAACTCTTGTTGCAAAATTCACTGTGTGTGACAGATTGTATGTCCCTATTAAAGAATTTACTTGTTTTTTCTGACTGCTTTCATTTATATAGTTTATGTTTATGTCTCCACGGATTATAAACTCAGACTGTGGATCACTGTGGTTGCAGTGCAAGGGCCAAGAAGGCCCACCCCTTATACATTCATTCATTCATTCATT